CCATCCCCATCCCATCACATCCCATCTCCATCCCATCTGCATCCCATCCCATCTGCATCCCATCCCATCCCATCCCATCCCATCCCCATCCCATCCCATCCCATCCCATCCCATCCCCATCCCATCCCCATCCTCATCCCCATCCCCATCCCCATCCCATTCCCATCTAATCCCATCCCCATCCCATCCCATTCCATCACATCCCATCTCATTTCATCCAATCCCATCCCCATCCCCATCCCATCCCATCTCCATCCCATCCCCATCCCATCTCATCTCATCCCATCCCATTCCCATCATATCCCATTCCCCCCCATCCCATTCCCATCCCATCCTCATCCCATCCCCACCCCATCCCATTCCCATCCCATCCTCATCCCATCCCCACCCCATCCCCATCCCATCCCATCCCATCCCATCCCCATCCCCATCCCATCCCCATCCCCATCCCATCCCATCCCATCCCATTCCCATCCCACCCCATCCCCATCCCCACCCCATTCCCACCCCATCCCCACCCCATCCATACCTCCCACCTCTCACCCTCAGGCGTCACCGGCTTCCTGAAGATCGATGAGAACGGCGACCGGGAGAGCGATTATTCCCTCTGGGACATGGACCCGGTGCGGGGGGACTTCCAGGTGAGCCCCAACAGGGGAGCACCCCTCCCGTGGGGCGACCGGGGGCCTCCTCCCACCCGCTTCCCCCCTTCATCCCCCATCAGATTGTGGCCAACTACAACGGCACCACCAAGAAGCTCCAGATGGTGCCGGGCCGCGCCATCCATTGGCCGGGGAACGTGGTCCCCTCCGATGTCCCCCCCTGTGGCTTTGACAACAGTGACCCCCAGTGCCACAAAGGTGAGCGGGGTCCATAGAGGGGGGGACACAGGCCATGGACCCCCCCACACAACCCGGTCACCCATCGGCTTCCTGTCACCCTGCAGGCAGCCTGTCCACCCTGGAGGTCCTGTCCCTTGTGGTGAGCCTCATCCTCTTGGCCATCACCGTCACCTCCTTCTTCATCTATAGGTAGGTGCTGCTGTGCCCAGAGGTGGTGGGGATGGACGGGGTTTTGGGGTTGTGGGGGGGGGTCTCATGGGGATGCTGCCTTGGAGCAGGAAGCTGGCGCTGGAGAAGGAGCTGGCGGCCGAGCTGTGGCGGATCCGGTGGGAAGATGTGCAGATGAGCAGCTTGGAGAAGCACCTGCGGAGCGCCGGCAGCAAACTCACCCTGTCCCTGGTGAGGTGGTGGGGAGCAGGCGGAGGGTCAGGGTTTGGGGGCGGTGGGGTCAGGGTTTGGAGATGGGGAGCAGGGTTTGGGGGTGATGGGATCAGGTTTTGGAGGTGATGGGGTCAGGGTTTGGAGGTGATGGGGTCAGGGTTTGGAGGTGATGGGGTCAGGGTTTGGGGTTGATGGGGTCAGGGTTTGGAGGTGATGGGGTCAGGGTTTGGAGGTGATGGGATCATGGTTTGGGGGTGATGGGATCAGGCTTTGGAGGTGATGGGGATCAAGGTTTGGAGGTGATGGGGAGCAGGTTTTGGAGGTGATGGGGAGCAGGGTTTGGGGGTGATGGGTTCAGGGTTTGGGGGTGGTGGGGAGCAGGGTTTGGGGGTGGTGGGGAGCGGGGTTTGGGGGCGGTGGGGAGCAGGGTTTGGGGGTGATGGGGTCAGGGTTTGGGGGCGGTGGGGTCAGGGTTTGGGGGCGATGGGGTCAGGGCTTGGAGGTGATGGGGTCAGGGTTTGGGGGCGGTGGGGTCAGGGTTTGGGGGCGATGGGGTCAGGGTTTGGGGGCGATGGGGAGCAGGGTTTGGGGGCGATGGGGTCAGGGTTTGGGGGTGATGGGGTCAGGGTTTGGGGGTGATGGGGAGCAGGGTTTGGGGGTGATGGGGTCAGGGTTTGGGGGTGATGGGGAGCAGGGTTTGGGGGTGATGGGGAGCAGGGTTTGGAGGTGATGGGGTCAGGCTTTGGAGGTGATGGGGAGCAGGGTTTGGGGGTGATGGGGTCAGGGTTTGGGGGTGATGGGGAGCAGGGTTTGGGGGTGATGGGGTCAGGGTTTGGTGGTGATGGGGTCAGGGTTTGGGGGTGGGGATCAGGGTTTGGAGGTGATGGGGAGCAGGGTTTGGGGGTGGTGGGATCAGGGTTTGGGGATGATGGGGAGCAGGGTTTGGGGGTGGTGGGGTCAGGGTTTGGGGGTGGTGGGGTGAGGGTTTGGGGGTGATGGGGATCAGGGTTTGGGGGTGATGGGGAGCAGGGTTTGGAGGCGGTGGGGTCAGGGTTTGGAGGTGATGGGGTCAGGGTTTGGAGGTGATGGGGTCAGGGTTTGGAGGTGATGGGGAGCAGGGGCAGGGCTCACGCCGCTTCCCTCCCCATCCAGAGGGGCTCCAACTACGGCTCCCTGATGACCACAGAGGGGCAGTTCCAGGTCTACGCCAAGACCGCCTATTACAAGGTACCCCGGCACGGGCTGGCCTGGCCCTGAAAGCCCCCCCCTTTCCCAGGGGGATATGGGGTGGGAGGCACCTCCCCACCCCTTTGTGCCCCCCTCCCAGGGCAACCTGGTGGCCGTGAAGCACCTGAACCGCCCGCGCATCGAGCTCACGCGCAAGGTCCTCTTCGAGCTGAAGCACGTAGGTGAAGCGCGCGGCGCCGTGGGGAGGGCTATGGGGCCATGGGGAGGGCTATGGGGAGGGCCGTGGGGCCGTGGGGCCGCTCCCAGCCCCTGCTCCCCTCTCTCAGATGCGGGATGTCCAAAACGAGCACCTCACCCGCTTCATCGGCGCCTGCACCGACCCCCCCAACATCTGCATCCTGACCGAGTACTGCCCCCGGGGCAGCCTGCAGGTACCCCAGGGACCACCTGCACCCATCGGGGTGGGGATGCTCCATTCGGCACCCATCGGGGTGGGGATGCTCCATTCGGCACCCATCAGGGTGGGGATGCTCCATTCGGCACCCATCGGGGTGGGGATGCTCCATTCGGCTCCCATCAGGGTGGGGATGCTCCATTCGGCACCCATTGGGGTGGGGATGCTCCATCCAGCACCCATTGGAATGGGGATGCTCCATTCGGCACCCATCGGGGTGGGGATGCTCCATTCGGCACCCATCAGGGTGGGGATGCTCCATTCGGCACCCATCAGGGTGGAGATGCTCCATTCGGCACCCATCAGGGTGGGGATGCTCCATTCGGCACCCATCGGGGTGGGGATGCTCCATTCGGCTCCCATCAGGGTGGGGATGCTCCATTCGGCACCCATTGGGGTGGGGATGCTCCATCCAGCACCCATTGGAATGGGGATGCTCCATTCGGCACCCATCGGGGTGGGGATGCTCCATTCGGCACCCATCGGGGTGGGGATGCTCCATTCAGCACCCATCGGGGTGGGGATGCTCCATTTGGCACCCATCGGGGTGGGGATGCTCCATTCGGCACCCATTGGCTGGGGATGCTCCATTCGGCACCCATTGGAATGGGGATGCTCTATTCGGCACCCATCGGGCTGGGGATGCTCCATTCGGCACCCATCGGGGTGGGGATGCTCCATTCGGCACCCATCGGGGTGGGGATGCTCCATTCGGCACCCATCAGGGTGGGGATGCTCCATTCGGCACCCATCGGGGTGGGGATGCTCCATTCGGCACCCATCGGGGTGGGGATGCTCCATTCGGCTCCCATCGGGGTGGGGATGCTCCATCCAGCACCCAATGGGATGGGGCTGCTCCATCCAGCACCCATTGGAATGGGGATGCTCCATCCAGCACCCATCGGGGTGGGGATGCTCCATCCAGCACCCATCAGGGTGGGGATGCTCCATTCGGCACCCATTGGAATGGGGATGCTCCATTCGGCACCCATCAGGGTGGGGATGCTCCATTCGGCACCCATCGGGGTGGGGATGCTCCATTCGGCACCCATCGGGGTGGGGATGCTCCATTCGGCACCCATCGGGCTGGGGATGCTCCATCCAGCACCCAACGGGGTGGGGATGCTCCATCCGGCACCCAATGGGATGGGGCTGCTCCATCCAGCACCCATTGGAATGGGGATGCTCCATCCAGCACCCATCGGGGTGGGGATGCTCCATTCAGCACCCATCAGCGTGGGGATGCTCCATTCAGCACCCATCAGGGTGGGGATGCTCCATTCAGCACCCATCGGGCTGGGGATGCTCCATCCGGCACCCATCAGGGTGGGGATGCTCCATCCAGCACCCACTGGGGCTGGGGCTGTTTCCAGCACCCATTGGGTTGGGGATGCTCCATCCAGCACCCACTGGGGATGGGGATGCTTCCAGGACCCATTTGGGTGGGGATGCTCCATCCAGCACCCATTGGGGATGGGGCTGTTTCCAGCACCCATTGGGTTGGGGATGCTCCATCCAGCACCCACTGGGGATGGGGCTGCTTGCAGCACCCATCGGGGCTGGCGATGCTCCCTGGGTGCCTGGGGTGGGCGGAGCCGATGGGTGCTGGTCCCCATCCCGGCCCAATCCCTGGCGGTGCTGTGCTCCTCAGGACATCCTGGAGAACGAGAGCATCACCTTGGACTGGATGTTCCGCTATTCCCTCACCCACGACATCGTCAAGGTAAGAGCCCAATCCCAGCATCCCCATTCCCGACGTCGGGAATCAGCCGCAAGCCTGACCCCCCCCCCACCCACCCAGGGGATGCAATTCCTGCACAACGGCGTCATCGTCTCCCATGGCAACCTCAAGTCCTCCAACTGCGTGGTGGACAGCCGCTTCGTGCTCAAGATCACCGACTATGGGCTGGAGAGCTTCCGCCTGCCCCCCGATGGGGAGGACACCCATGCCCTCTTCGCCAGTGAGCACCCAACCCTATCCCCCCCACCACCCCCCAGCACCCAACCCCCGGGGTCCCCGCTCGCCCTCAGCACCCTTCTTGGTGGCACAGAGAAGCTGTGGACGGCGCCCGAGCTCTTGAGGATGGAGCAGCCCCCGGGCCGTGGTACCCAGAAGGGGGATGTCTACAGCTTCGGCATCATCCTGCAGGAGATCGCCCTGCGCAACGGGGTCTTCTACGTGGAGGGCATGGACCTCAGCCCCAAAGGTTGGGGGGCAGCAGGAGCCGATGGGTGCTTGGGCCTGACAATGGGTGCTTGGATCTTCTGATGGGTGCTTGGACATTCCGATGGGTGCTTGGATCTTCTGATGGGTGCTTGGACATTCCGATGGGTGCTTGGATCTTCTGATGGGTGCTTGGGCCTTCCGATGGGTGCTTGGATCTTCCGATGGGTGCTTGGGCATTCCGATGGGTGCTTGGACCTCCTGATGGGTGCTTGGATCTTCCAATGGGTGCTTGGGCATTCCGATGGGTGCTTGGGCCTTCCGATGGGTGCTTGGGCCTTCCAATGGGTTCTTGGGCCTGACAATGGATGCTTGGATGTGCTGTGATGGGTGCTTGGACCTTCCGATGGGTGCTTGGATCTTCTGATGGGTGCTTGGGCCTTCCGATGGGTGCTTGGGCCTTCCGATGGGTGCTTGGACCTTCTGATGGCTGCTTGGACCTGACAATGGATGCTTGGGCCTTCCGATGGGTGCTTGGGCCTGACAATGGGTGCTTGGATCTTCTGATGGGTGCTTGGGCCTTCTGATGGGTGCTTGGATCTTCTGATGGGTGCTCGGACATTCCGATGGGTGCTTGGACCTCCTGATGGGTGCTTGGGCCTCACAATGGATGCTTGGATGTGCTGTGATGGGTGCTTGGACCTTCTGATGGGTGCTTGGACCTGACAATGGGTGCATGAACCTGACAATGGATGCTTGGGCCTTCTGATGGGTGCTTGGACCTCCTGATGGGTGCTTGGATGAGCTGATGAGTCCTGGGACCTGCTGATGGGTTATTGGATGAGCTGATGGGTGCTTGGATCTACCGATGGGTGCTTGGACCTACCGATGGGTGCTTGGACCTACCGATGGGTGCTTGGATCTACCGGTGGGTGCTTGGACCTACCGATGGGTGCTTGGATCAACCTATGGGTGCTTGGATCTTCTGATGGGTGCTTGGACCTACCGATGGCTGCTTGGATCTACTGATGGGTACTTGGATCTACCGATGGGTGCTTGGATCTACCGATGGGTGCTTGGACCTACCGATGGGTGCTTGGATCAACCTATGGGTGCTTGGACCTACCAACGGCTGCTTGGATCTACCGATGGTTGCTTGGATCTACCGATGGTTGCTTGGATCTACCGATGGGTGCTTGGATCTACCTATGGGTGCTGGGACCTACCGACGGGTGCTTGGATCTACCAACGGGTGCTTAGACCAGTCGATGGGTGCTTTGACCTATCGCTGGGTGCTGGCACCAGTTGATGGGTGCTGCTCCCCTCTGACGGGTGCTGCCGTCCCCCTCCCCAGAGATCATCGAGCGTGTGAAGAGCGGCGAGCGCCCCAGCTTCCGCCCCTCGGCCGCCGTGGGGTGCCAGCTGGAGGAGCTGGGGCAGCTCATGCAGCTCTGCTGGGCCGAGGACCCCCTGGAGCGCCCGGACTTCAACCACATCAAGGTGCAGCTCCGCAGGTTCAACAGGTACCGACCCCATCCCCATCCCCGGCCCCAGCCCCACCGCGGCGGGGGGGGGGGGCGGATGGACCCCTGTGGGTCCCCAGATGGGTGCTGAGCCCCTGCCCGCAGGGGGAGCAGCAGCAACATCCTGGACAACCTGCTGTCCCGCATGGAGCAGTACGCCAACAACCTGGAGGAGCTGGTGGAGGAGCGCACCCAGGCCTACCTGGAGGAGAAGCGCAAGGCGGAGGCGCTGCTCTACCAGATCCTGCCCCAGTGAGCGTCCATGGGGGTCCCTATAGAGACCCCCCAGCCACCGCGCTGTGGGGTACCACGGCAGCATCGCGCAAACACACACACACACGCACACAATCCTGCCCTGCTGGGGGGGGCGCTGGGACGTGGGGATGGGTGGGTGGGTATGGTGATGGGTGGGTGGGTGGTTGGACGTGGTGATGGGTGGTTGGATGTGGTGATGGGTGGTTGGAGCTGGTGATGGGTGGTTGGGTGGTTGGACATGGTGATGGGTGGTTGGAGCTGGTGATGGGTGGTTGGACATGGTGAGGGGTGGTTGGATGTGGTGAGGGGTGGTTGGAGCTGGTGATGGGTGGTTGGGTGGTTGGACATGGTGATGGGTGGTTGGACATGGTGAGGGGTGGTTGGAGCTGGTGATGGGTGGTTGGACATGGTGATGGGTGGTTGGACGTGGTGAGGGGTGGTTGGACGTGGTGATGGGTGGTTGGACGTGGTGAGGGGTGGTTGGAGCTGGTGATGGGTGGTTGGACATGGTGAGGGGTGGTTGGATGTGGTGAGGGGTGGTTGGAGCTGGTGATGGGTGGTTGGGTGGTTGGACATGGTGATGGGTGGTTGGACATGGTGAGGGGTGGTTGGAGCTGGTGATGGGTGGTTGGACATGGTGATGGGTGGTTGGACGTGGTGAGGGGTGGTTGGACGTGGTGATGGGTGGTTGGAGCTGGTGATGGGTGGTTGGAGCTGGTGATGGGTGGTTGGACATGGTGATGGGTGGTTGGACGTGGTGAGGGGTGGTTGGACGTGGTGATGGGTGGTTGGAGCTGGTGATGGGTGGTTGGAGCTGGTGATGGGTGGTTGGACATGGTGATGGGTGGTTGGAGGTGGTGATGTGTGGTTGGGTGGTTGGACATGGTGATGGGTGGTTGGAGCTGGTGATGGGTGGTTGGAGCTGGTGATGGGTGGTTGGAGCTGGTGATGGGTGGTTGGACGTGGTGAGGGGTGGTTGGAGCTGGTGACGGGTGGTTGGAGCTGGTGATGGGTGGTTGGACATGGTGATGGGTGGTTGGAGGTGGTGATGTGTGGTTGGGTGGTTGGACATGGTGATGGGTGGTTGGAGCTGGTGATGGGTGGTTGGACGTGGTGAGGGGTGGTTGGACGTGGTGAGGGGTGGTTGGAGCTGGTGAGGGGTGGTTGAACACGGTGATGGGTGGGTGGGTGGGTGGTTGGAGCTGGTGACGGGTGGTTGGAGCTGGTGACGGGTGGTTGGAGCTGGTGACGGGTTGTTGGACATGGTGACGGGTGGTTGAACACGGTGATGGGTGGTTGGACGTGGTGACGGGTGGTTGAACCTCCTGTGATGGGTGGTTGGGCATGGTGACAGGTGGTTGGACATGGTGACGGGTGGTTGGGCATGGTGACGGGTGGTTGGAGCTGGTGACGGGTGGTTGGACCTCCTGTGATGGGTGGTTGGACCTGCTGATGGGTGGTTGTGCATGGTGATGGGTGGTTGGACCTGCTAATGGGTGCTTGGACATGGTGATGGGTGGTTGGACATTCTGATGGGTGGCTGGACCTGCTGATGGGTGCATCCAAGCACCCCTGCATGGCTGGGGATGCCTACAGCAGCTGTGGACACCCCCCCCCCATGTCCCATCCCCACCCCACAGCTCGGTGGCGGAGCAGCTGAAGCGGGGCGAGACGGTGCCGGCGGAGGCCTTCGACAGCGTCACCATCTACTTCAGCGACATCGTGGGCTTCACGGCGCTGTCGGCGCAGAGCACGCCCATGCAGGTGGTGACGCTGCTCAACGACCTCTACACTTGCTTCGACGCCATCATCGACCACTTTGACGTCTACAAGGTTTGGGGTGGGGATGATGGGGACCCCCGCATTGGGGGGTGTTGTTGGGTGTTGTTGGCACCCCACGGCGCTCGGTCCGCAGGTGGAGACCATCGGCGATGCCTACATGGTGGTGTCGGGGCTGCCGGTGCGCAACGGGCGGCAGCACGCGCCCGAGGTGGCGCGCATGGCGCTGGCGCTGCTCGACGCCGTGCGCTCCTTCCGCATCCGCCACCGGCCCCAGCAGCAGCTGCGCCTGCGCATCGGGGTGCACACGGGTCAGTGGGGCGGGGATGGCAATGGGGAAGGCATGGGGGGGAATGGGGATGGGGAAGGCATGGGGGGCAATGGGGATGGGGGAGCCATGGGGGGGAATGGGGATGGGGGAGCCCATGGGGGGCAATGGGGATGGGGGACGTATGGGGGAAAAGGGGATGGGGAAGCCATGGGGGGCACTGGGGATGGGGGAGCCATGGGGGGGAATGGGGATGGGGGAGCCATGGGGGGTAATGGGGATGGGGGAGCCCATGGGGGGGAATGGGGATGGGGGAGCCATGGGGGGTAATGGGGATGGGGAGCCCATGGGGGGCAATGGGGATGGGGGAGCCATGGGGGGTGACTGCAATGGGGGAGCCATGGGGGGTAATGGGGATGGGGAAGGCATGGGGGGTAATGGGGATGGGGAGCCCATGGGGGGCAATTGGGATGGGGGAGCCATGGGGGGTAATGGGGATGGGGGAGCCCATGGGGGGGCAATGGGGATGGGGGAGCCATGGGGGGTAATGGGGATGGGGGAGCCCAGGGGGGGGAATGGGGATGGGGGAGCCATGGGGGGTAATGGGGATGGGGAGCCCATGGGGGGCAATGGGGATGGGGGAGCCATGGGGGGCAATGGGGATGGGGGAGCCATGGGGGGCACTGGGGATGGGGGAGCCCATGGGGGGTGATTGCAATGGGGAAGCTATGGGGGGCAATGGGGATGGGGGAGCCATGGGGGGTAATGGGGATGGGGCAGCCCATGGGGGGGCAATGGGGATGGGGGAGCCCATGGGGGGCAATGGGGATGGGGACGTGGGACCCATGGGGGTCAATGGGGATATGTGACCAATGTGGGTTAATGGGGATGGGGAACCCATGGGGGGCAATGGGGATGGGGGAGCCATGGGGGGGAATGGGGATGGGAGAGCCATGGGGGGCAATGGGGATGGGGGAGCCATGGGGGGCAATGGGGATGGGGGAGCCATGGGGGGGAATGGGGATGGGGGAGCCCATGGGGGGGAATGGGGATGGGGGAGCCATGGGGGGCAATGGGGATGGGGGAGCCATGGGGGGGAATGGGGATGGGGGAGCCATTGGGGGTAATGGGGATGGGGGAGCCATGGGGGGGTGATTGCAATGGGGAAGTCATGGGGGGCAATGGGGATGGGGGAGCCATGGGGGGTAATGGGGATGGGGGAGCCCATGGGGGGTGATTGCAATAGGAAAGCCATGGGGGGCAATGGGGATGGGGGAGCCATGGGGGGGAATGGGGATGGGGGAGCCATGGGGGGGAATGGGGATGGGGGAGCCATAGGGGACAATGGGGATGGGGGAGCCCATAGAGGGTAATGGGGATGGGGGAGCCCATGGGGGGTGATTGCAATGGGGAAGCCATGGGGGGCAATGGGGATGGAGGAGCCATGGGGGGTGATTGCAATGGGGAAGCCATGGGGGCAATGGGGATGGGGAACCCATGGGGGTCAATAGGGATGGAGAACCCATATGGGTCAATAGGGATGGGGACATGGGACCCATGTGGGTCAATGGGGACGTGTGACCAATGTGGGTCAATGGGGATAGAGAAGCCATGGGGGGTCAATGGGAATGGGGGACCCATGGGGGGCAATGGGGAGGGGGGACCCATGGAGGGGAATGGGGATGTGGACCCATATGGGGTCAGTGGGGCTGGGGACATGGAAGCCGTATGGGTCAATGGGGAGAGGGAACCCACATGGGTCAGGAGAGATGGGGACAGGGCCATAGCACCCACACAGGTCAATGGGCACCCAGCCCTCCCATGGAGCCCAGGGGGCAGTGGGGCCATGTGGGGTGGGAGCTATGGGGGGTGCTCACTGGGTGCCCCCCAGGACCCGTCTGTGCCGGGGTTGTGGGGCTCAAGATGCCCCGGTACTGCCTGTTCGGGGACACGGTGAACACGGCCTCGCGCATGGAGTCCAATGGGGAAGGTGAGGGCACCCGTGGGTGCTGAGGGACACCTATGGGAGCTGCTGGGCATCTATGGGTGCTGCTGGGCACCTATGGGTGCTGCTGGGCACCTATGGGAGCTGGTGGGCACCTATGGGTGCTGCTGGGCACCTATGGGAGCTGCTGGGCATCTATGGGTGGTGATGGGCACCTATGGGTGCTGCTGGGCACCTATGGGAGCTGGTGGGCATCTATGGGTGATGGGCACCCATGGGAGCTGATGGGCACCCACGGTTGGTGATGGGCATCTATGGGAGCTGATGGGCACCCACGGTTGGTGATGGGCATCTATGGGAGCTGATGGGCACCCATGGGTGGTGATGGGCATCTATGGGAGCTGATGGGCACCCATGGGAGCTGATGGGCACCTATGGGTGGTTATGGGCACCCACGGGTGCTGATGGGCACCCATGGTTGGTGATGGATACCCATGGGAGCTGATGGGCTCCTATGGGTGGTGATGGGCACCCATGGTTGGTGATGGGCTCCTATGGGTGCTGCTGGGCTCCTATGGGTGCTGCTGGGCACCCATGGTTGGTGATGGGCACCCATGGCTGCTGATGGGCACCCATGGGAGCTGATGGGCACCCACAGTTGGTGATGGGCTCCTATGGGTGCTGATGGTCACCTGTGGGTGCTGGTGGGCACCCATGGTTGGTGATGGGCACCCACAGTTGGTGATGGGCTCCTATGGGTGCTGATGGTCAACTGTGGGTGCTGGTGGGCACCCATGGTTGGTGATGGGCACCCATGGGTGCTGATGGGCACCCACGGTTGGTGATGGGCACCCATGGTTGTTGATGAGCACTCACGGTTGCTGATGGGCACCCATGGGCGGTGATGGGCACCTATGGGAGCTGATGGGCACCCAAGCTTGTTGATGGGCTCCTATGGGTGCTGATGGGCTCCTATGGGTGCTGATGGGCTCCTATGGGTGCTGATGGGCACCCAAGCTTGTTGATGGGCTCCTATGGAAGCTGATGGGCACCCATGGGTGCTGATGGGCACCTATGGGTGCTGATGGGCTCCTATGGGTGCTGATGGGCACCCAAGCTTGTTGATGGGCACCTATGGGAGCTGATGGGCACCCAAGCTTGTTGATGGGCACCTATGGGAGCTGATGGGCACCCACGGTTGTTGATGGGCACCTATGGGTGCTGATGGGCACCTATGGGAGCTGATGGGCTCCTATGGGTGCTGATGGGCTCCTATGGGAGCTGATGGGCTCCTATGGGTGCTGATGGGCACCTATGGGTGCTGATGGGCACCCAAGCTTGTTGATGGGCTCCTATGGGTGCTGATGGGCTCCTATGGGTGCTGATGGGCAGCTATGGGAGCTGATGGGCTCCTATGGGTGCTGATGGGCTCCTATGGGTGCTGATGGGCACCTATGGGAGCTGATGGGCACCCATGGGTGCTGATGGGCTCCTATGGGTGCTGATGGGCACCTATGGGAGCTGATGGGCTCCTATGGGTGCTGATGGGCTCCTATGGGTGCTGATGGGCTCCTATGGGTGCTGATGGGCACCCACGGTTGTTGATGGGCACCTATGGGTGCTGATGGGCTCCTATGGGTGCTGATGGGCAGCTATGGGAGCTGATGGGCTCCTATGGGTGCTGATGGGCTCCTATGGGTGCTGATGGGCACCTATGGGAGCTGATGGGCACCCATGGGTGCTGATGGGCTCCTATGGGTGCTGATGGGCTCCTATGGGAGCTGATGGGCTCCTATGGGTGCTGATGGGCACCTATGGGTGCTGATGGGCTCCTATGGGTGCTGATGGGCACCCATGGGTGCTGATGGGCTCCTATGGGTGCTGATGGGCTCCTATGGGTGCTGATGGGCACCCATGGGTGCCGCCGCTCCCCAGCCCTGAAGATCCACATCTCCGCCGCGACCAAGGCCGTGCTGGAGGAGTTCGGCTGCTTCGAGCTGGAGCTCCGGGGGGACGTGGAGATGAAGGTGGGTCCTGCCCCCTCCCCCACCCCCATGGGTGCCCCAATGGGCCCCATCCCCCCCCCCCCCCCATCCTCATCCCATAGCCCCGATGGGGCCATGGGCACCCTGGGACCCCCCCCCCTTTGTCTGATCCCCCCCCCTCTCTCCCCATAGGGCAAGGGGAAGGTGAGGACCTATTGGCTGCTGGGGGAGCGGGGGGGCAGCACCCGGGGCTGACCCCCCCCCAGCAGCACCCAGACCCCCGGGGGGGGCTGCACCAGGCACCGCCTCCGAGCCTCCCCCCCCCTCCCCGGTCCTCAATGAACCCCAATGCACCCCAGTGCACCCCAATGCATCCCTGTGCATCCCAATGCACCCCAATGCATCCCAGTGCATCCCAATGCACCCCAATGCATCCTAACGCATCCCAGTGCACCCCGGCTGCTCCGGGGGGGACCCCATGGGACCCCCCGGGCACGGGCACCGGAAAGGGGGGGTGCAGGGCTTGGGGGGCCTGGGGGGGCTGGGGGGTGGGGGTTGTGGGGGGGTGTGGGGCCGGGGGGGGGTCACGAGAGCTCTAATTTTATAATAAAGGTGATGTGGACATGGGGTGATGGGGCCGGTCCTGAGCCCCACAGCGGGGTCCCTCCTGTGCCCCACATCCCTGAGCCCCACAACAGGGTCCCTCCTGCGCCCCACATCCCTGAGCCTCACATCCCTGAGCCCCATAGCAGAGTCCCTCCTGTGCCCCACATCCCTGAGCCCCATAGCAGAGTCCCTCCTGTGCCCCACATCCCTGAGCCCCACAGCGGGGTCACTCCTGCGCCCCACATCCCTGAGCCTCACATCCCTGAGCCCCACAGCGGGGTCCCTCCTGTGCCCCACATCCCTGAGCCCCACAGCGGGGTCCCTCCTGTGCCCCACATCCCTGAGCCCCACATCCCTGAGCCCCATAGCAGAGTCCCTCCTGTGCCCCACATCCCTGAGCCCCACATCCCTGAGCCCCATAGCAGAGTCCCTCCTGTGCCCCACATCCCTGAGCCCCACAACAGGGTCCCTCCTGCATCCCAGATCCCTGAGCCCCACAGCAGGGTCCCATCCTGTGCCCCACATCCCTGAGCCTCACATCCCTGAGCCCCACAGTGGGGTCCCTCCTGCACCCCACATCCCTGAGCCCCATAGCGGGGTCCCTCCTGTGCCCCACATCCCTGAGCCCCATAGCGGGGTCCCTCCTGTGCCCCACATCCCTGAGCCCCACAACAGGGTCCCTCCTGTGCCCCACATCCCTGAGCCCCACAGCAGGGTCCCATCCTGTGCCCCACATCCCTGAGCCCCACAGCGGGGTCCCTCCTGTCCCCCACATCCCTGAGCCCCACAGCGGGGGTCCCCTCCTGCACCCCACAACGGGGACCCTTTCTGTGCCCCACATAGGGTACCGCCCTGCACCCCACATCGGGGTCCCCCCCCCCCGCAGGAGAGGTCCCCTCCTGCGCCCCACATCCGGGTGCTCCACATCGGGAGTCTCTTCTTGCGCCGCACATTGGGGTCCATTCCCTGTGGCCCACATCGGGGGTCTGCTCCTGAGCCCCACATCGGGAGTCCCCTCCTGCGCCCCACATCCCTGTGCCCCACATCGGGTCCGCTCCCTGTGCCCCACATCAGGAGTCCCTTCCTGTGCCCCACACCGGGGATCCCCTTCTGAGCCCCACATCGGGTCCCATCCCCGCACCCCTGCATCCCTGTGCTCCACATCGGGTCCCATTCCTGCGCCCCACAACCCTGAGCCCCACATCAGGTCCCCTCCCTGCGCCCCACATCGGGGGTCCCTTCCTGCGCCCCACATCCATGTGCCCCACATCCCCGAGCCCTACATCGGGTCCCATCCCGGCGCCCCACATCGGGGGTCCCTTCCTGCGCCCCACATCCATGTGCCCCACATCGGGTCCCATCCCGGCGCCCCACATCGGGGGTCCCTTCCTGCGCCCCACATCCCCGAGCCCCACATCGGGTCCCATCCCTGCGCCCCACATCGGGTCCCATCCCTGCGCCCCACACCGCGTGGCTCCCGTCGGTCACCTCCCACCTCCCCCTTCCCGCAGAAGGGGCGGAGCATCCACCACCACAAGCCCCTCCCCTCCCACCCCATTGGCTGCACACCCCCCTCTAATCCCCGCCCCTCTCCCCTCAGCCACTCACCCCTCACTCCCAGCCCTATCCCCGCTCCCATTGGCCAGCGGGCAGGGAGGGGGCGGGCTCTTCCGGCCTCGCCGCTTTTCCTCTTCCCCTAGGGCCCCGCCGTGTCTCTCCGGTGCCTTCCGGGCCCCCCCATAGGGGCTGTGTCCCCCCCCCCCATACCCCCTATATCCCCCCTATATCCCCCCCTATATCCCCTATACCCCCCATACCCCCTATATCCCCTATCCCCCCCCATAGGGCAGCCCCATAGCACAGCCCCATACCCCCCCCCCTCCCTCCTCCTCCTCCTCGTCCTCAGGTGAGGAAGAGCGGGGTGGGGGGGGCTCGCTCGGGGGGGGGTCCCTGCGCCGTTGCCCCCCCCCCCCAGCCCCCAGCCATGGAGATGGGGAAGGGGAAGGGGGGAGCGGGGGGGAAGTTGCTGGTTTCCACCCTCCTGGATGCCAAGGATGAGCTGGAGGAGGTAGGTGGGGGGGGAGGGGGGGGGTTGGGGGGCGGGGGGGGGGTACAGGGGGGAAGGGGTACAGGGATGCAGGGATACAGGGATGAAGGGGTACGGGGATGCAGGGATACAGGGATGAAGGGGCACAGGTATACAGGGGTACAGGGATGCAGGGATCCAGGGGCACAGGGATGCAGGGGTACAGGGATACAGGGATCCTGGGATGCAGGTGTACAGGGATACAGGTGTGCAGGGATACAGGGGTACGGGGATGCAGGGGTACAGGGATACAGGGATGAAGGGGCACAGGTATACAGGGGTACAGGGATGCAGGGGTCCAGGGATGCAGGGATACAGGGGCACAGGGATACAGGGGTACAGGGATGCAGGGATCCTGGGATACAGGGGCACAGGAATACAGGGGTACAGGGATGCAGGGATACAGGGATGCGGGGATACAGGGGTACAGGAATACAGGGATGCAGGGGTACAGGGATACAGGTGTGCAGGGATGCAGAGATACAGGGTTGCAGGGATACAGGGATGCAGGGATGAAGCCGCACAGGCATACAGGGGTACAGGTGTGCAGGTATATTTGGATGCAGGGATACAGGGGTACAGGTATACAGGGATGCAGGGGTACAGGATGCAGCGATACAGGGATGCCGGGATGCAGGGATACAGGGGTACGGGGATGCAGGGATACAGGGGTACAGGGATGCAGGGATACAGGGATGCAGGTGTACAGGGATGCAGGGGTACAGGGATGCAGCGATACAGGTATACAGGGATGCAGGGATACATGGATGCAGGGATACAGGGGTACGGGGATGCAGGGGTACAGGGATGCAGCGATACAGGGATGCAGGTTTACAGGGATGCAGGGGTACAGGAATACAGGGATGGAGGGATACAGGGATGCAGGGGTGCAGGTGTGCAGGGGTACAGGCATGCAGGGATGAAGGGACACAGGTATACAGGGGTACAGGTATTCAGGAATACAGGGATGCAGGGATGCTGGTTTACAGGGGTACAGGTATAGCGGTATACAGGGATACAGGGATGCAGCAATACAGGGATACAGGGATACAGGTACACAGGGATGCCGGGATGAAGGGGCACAGGTATACAAGGGTACAGGTGTGCAGGGATACAGGGATGCAGGGATAGGGCACTGGGAATGGAGGCGGCAGCGCCGAGGCAGCGCTTCCCCGTGAGGGTGCTGGGGCGCCGGGATGGGTTCAATGGAGGAGGTTTGGATGCTCCGTGGCAGCCAATGGGAGACGTCCGTGCCCCGTCCCTGCGCTCCATCCCGTTCCGTGATTCCCGTTGGGAAAGGGTCTGCTCCTACTCGAGGAGCATCGGGACCGCGTTGCTCTGACACAGGCTGGCATGGATCCCACGGGATCCCAGGTTCAGGAATGCTGCTGCTTGTCCCCAGGGCAAGGGCTGGTTGTTGAGTGGTGGAAATGAAGGGAGTTGAGGCTCCCAAAGTGGTCCAGAGGAGGGAAAGCATCCCATTGGCTTTGAGCTGCAGGAGGCAAACGGGGTGGTGATGGGAATAACGGCATCCCGATGGGAATAACACCATCTCGGTGGGGGTACCGCTGTCCTGATGGGAATAACACCATCCTGATGGGAGTAACGCCATCCTGGTGGGAATAACGCCGTCCCGATGGGAATAACACCATCCTGATGGGAGTAACGCCATCCTGGTGGGAATACCGCTGTCCTGATGGGAGTAACACCATCCTGATGGGAATAACACCATCCCGATGGGAGTAACGCCATCCTGGTGGGAATACCGCCGTCCTGATGGGAGTAACGCCATCCTGGTGGGAATAACGCCGTCCCGATGGGAATAACGCTATCCTGATGGGAGTAACGCCATCCTGGTGGGAATAACGCCGTCCTGATGGGAGTAACACTATCCTGATGGGAGTAACACCATCCTGGTGGGAATAACGCCGTCCCGATGGGAATAACACCATCCCGATGGGAGTAACGCCATCCTGGTGGGAATAACGCCGTCCCGATGGGAATAACACCATCCCAATGGGAGTAACGCCATCCCGATGGGAGTAACGCCATCCTGGTGGGAATACCGCCGTCCTGATGGGAGTAACGCCATCCTGGTGGGAGTAACGCCATCCTGGTGGGAATAACGCCATCCCGATGGGAATAACGCCATCCCGATTGGAATACCACCATCTCAATGGGAATGCCACCATCCCGGTGGGAATAACGCCATCCCGGTGGGAATAACGCTGTCCTGATGGGAATACCGCCATCCCAGTGGGAATACCGCCATCCCCATGGGAGTAACGCTGTCCCAGTTGGAATAACATCATCCCGATGGGAATACCACTGTCCTGGTGGGAATAACACCATCCTGAAAAGAAGAACACCATCCCGATGTTAATAACACCATCCCGACGGGAATAACGCCGTGCCAGTTGGAATAACACCATCCCAATGGGAATACCACCGTCCTGATGGGAATAACGCCATCCTGATGGGAATAACACCGTCCCTGTGGGAAGAACTCCGTCCTGATGGAAATGACTCCATCCCGATGGGAATAACACCATCCCGATGGGAATAACGCCATCCCGATGGGAATAACCCATCCCAGTGGGAGTACCACCATCCCAATGGGAGTACCACCATCCCAATGGGAATAACGCCATCCCAATGGGAGTACCGCCATCCCAATGGGAGTACCGCCATCCCGATGGGTATAACGCCATCCCAATGGGAGTACCGCCATCCCGATGGGAGTACCACCATCCCAATGGGAATAACGCCATCCCGATGGGAGTACCGCCATCCCGATGGGAATACCACCATCCCAATGGGAATAACGCCATCCCAATGGGAATAACGCCATCCCGATGGGAATAAAGCCATCCCAATGGGAGTACCACCATCCCAGTGGGAGTACCACCATCCCAATGGGAATAACGCCATCCCGATGGGAGTACCACAATCCCAATGGGAGTACCGCTATCCCGATGGGAATAACACCATCCCAAGCTCTGGAAGCTGCCATTGGAGTGTATTTGTGTGCCTTCCACGCAGTCACTGCTCCCCGTGTGTGTTGGGTCCCGGCCAGGCCTGCCCAGAACATTCCCAGCTCCGGCTGGAAAAGCAGCTCCATGCTCCGGGTGTCCTGGGATGCTCCCATTGGATCTGGGTTGGGAAGGAGCCAGCAGGGCGGCTCCGATCGGGCACGGGGATGGATGTGTGCGGATGGAGGCGAGGGAGACTTCCCAGGGATGAGCTGGTCCTTACCCATCTCCATCTCTTCCACTGCTGGGAACCAGCACCGGTGACCAAATTCCAGTTGGGAAAAGCTGCTTCCGGCTGATTCCTTCCCTTTGAGGGGGGGTTCTCCCTCTGCTTTTCCAGCTCCTGGATCTTATCCTCCCTTTCCACATCATTCCTGTGCTTTGGAGCTGGGATCTTCCTGGGCTTTGCCCCCTTGCTCCTGCATAAAACCCCCGGGATACAGCCAATTCCTCACCGGCTTTAATGGGTTGGACCTGGATGAGCTTTAAGCTGCCTTCATCCCAACCCATCCCATGATCCCATGGTTTGCTTCTTCCATGCCTGTGCTCCTGACTTCCTGGCTCTTCCCACCTCCATCCCTTCGGATGCTCCGTGCCAGCATCTCCTGCTGTGCTCCACCAGAAGCTGCTCAGCTGGGATGGGACCGGGACGTTTCCAGGGCTGCTCCCACATGGATGATGGTTTGGGATCAAGCTGATATCCATGTCCATGATGGGGTTGGGGGGGGGGGGTTTGGAGCCCTGCTGTGTTCTGGCAGCATCCCAATGGATGCCTCTTGCTTCCAGAGGCTGGAGAGATGCGTGAGCATCGTCACGGCGCTCACCAATGGGCTCTCGGAGCGGGAAGCCAACGATGCTCTCAACGCTCACGTAAGTCCTCGTGTCCTTTGGGGTGGGATGGATCCTGCCTGGATCAAGGGACTCATGGAAGGGAGGGGGGCGGGGGTTCAAGCTTCCCACTTTGGAATTCCACACTTGATGGCTTCAATCCCTTTGGAAGCCAATTGCTCCCTCCACTCACTGCGGTTCATTGCGGGGCTCAGGTGGATCCTGCCCCTTTTCCCCAGCGTGGGAACACTCACACATGGAATTCCTTGGGTCTTGCCTGGCCTCAGCTTTTGCCTGGCCTCGCAGCAACCAGATTCCAGCCCTTTGGAAAGGGCCCGTTCACGCTAGCCAGGGGATGGAGCTGCAGATGCAGATGTTACCCTATAAGGCTGCGTGCGGTGCTAATGGGCTCTCAGCTATGCCTGGTGCGTTTCTAACCCCCCCCAGACACCTTGGGCCGTGCTCCAGAGGCCCCTTCCCTTCCTGGGCAGCGCTTGGCATCCCAAGGGTGGGATTCAGGGCTCCTGGAATGCATTCCCGCTTGGAAGAGAGCAGCCAGGCCCCATCCCTTGGGTCCAACTGGTGCCCTATGAAGCCGTGGCTGCCCCATCTTGCAGTGCTCAAGGAGCATCCTGCTCTAGGGCAGCTGTCCCTGCCCGTGGGGCTGGATGGGCTTTAAGCTCCCTTCATCCCAACCCATTCCATGATGTGCTCCTCCTGGGATACCCCTGAAGCCGCTCAAAGCTCTCAGCACCCTTTCCTCCAGGGAGGCCCTTTATGGTTTGGGTATTCCCGGTTCGGATTCCTTCCTGGATGCTCCATGTGGGGTTTCCTGCTTCTCTTGCCCCATCTCACTGCTGCCTCTGCCTTCCTCTCCCTTAGATATGCAAAGGAAGCCCCCAGCACGAGGAGATCTGCCTGGGGCTCTTCACCCTGGTCCTCACGGAGCCTGCTCAGGCCCAGAAGGTAAGAGCCACTGTTCCATTGGGAATGGAATGGGGCAGTGCTGGGGCTTCCTCCTGCCTGGAATCCCGGTGCCGAGCAGAGCATCCCGGCTTTGCTGCATCCGTGTGGTCCAGGGGCTGACGCTCAGGGATGCTGCCACCAAGGGAAGGGGCTTGGTTGGCTGCTTGCCCAGCCTGGGAATGAATTGGGTTTCCCTAGGGGAGGCAGACACTGGTGCTAAAGGGAGCATCCTGGAAAGAATTCCTGCCTGGATCTAGACCTTAAGGTCCTTTCCAGCCCATCCCAGCCTGGGATTCCATGGCTCTGCCTTGGCTGTGCATGGCTTTGATGCTGGAAGCTCTAGGAATCCCCCACCTTGAGGCACGTGTGCAATTCCTAGAGGAAAAACTGCTTTCCAGCAGCCCCCCCTCTGGTGATTCCAGAGCGAATCCCGAAATCCCTTTGTAATGGGTCCAGGGTGATTGCTGGGCTTGCAGCCGCTCACCAATGGGAAGAGGAACGTTTTGTGTGGGAAAGCTCTGGGATGCGGGTTTGGAGCAGCTCCAAGGAAAAGCCTTGGAATGAGCCCTCCCCGGGCTCCTTCTTGGGGTGCAGGGGATGGGAAGGGGCTGAAGGGGGCTTCAGGGCGTGCTGGGAGGGATGCTCCATAAATCCCGGTGCTGCGCTGGCCGGGGGCGACTCAGGCAAGGCTCTGCCTTGATTTAATCCCTGTTGTGATTGGATTCCGGTCCCTAACTCCTCTGATTTCCTCTTTTCCCATTGGTTTAAAGGGCTGGAGATGGGGAAGAAGTGAGGGTGCTGAGGACCTGGGAGGGGATGAAGGGAGGAGCTGGGGCTGCCCCATCCCTGGCAGTGCTCAAGGCCGGTTTGGAGCTGTCCCTGCCTATGGAACTGGATGAGCTTTAAGCTCCCTGCATCCCATCCCATTCCATGATCCTTCCCGGGGGCTGAAGCCCCCCCCTTGCCTCCTCCCTCGTGTTGCATTGACCCTGCAGGCAGCCGGGATGAGCTGGGATGCGCTGGGGTGCCCTGGTCCAGCCGTAAGGAGGGCGCTGACCCCTTCATTCCCAAGTGACGTGGCCCAGCTCCCTCCTCTTCCTGCTTTAATTACCCCGGGATCAGAGGGCTCTGAACCCAGCGCCTGCTCAGCACCTCCTCCACTGCCTGCTCAGCACCTCCAGGCTGGGAGGAGGTCTCTTCCCTCCCCTCCGTGCCTCTTCCCCCTTCATTCCAAGCGCGCATCCGTCCTTCCTCCCTGTTCAGTGCAGTGGGAATGCTGGCTCCGGGGTGCAGGGAAGCCATCCAGGTTCCCTCCCCACCCCTGTGGCTGTTGGGGACCTCAAGAGCTTCCCCATTCCCTGTGGATTCCCTGCTCGGCAGGAATCCCGACAAGGAAGGGGTTGGTGATGTCTTGGCATTGCCCTGATGGGATGGGATGGGGCTTGTTCTGCTCTGGCCGCTTGTGCTTGGGGGGCTTGGATGAGCTCTGCTCTAGGGACAGGACAAGGGGAATGGCTTTAACCTGCAGGGGGGAGACTGGGATGAGCTCTTAGGCAGGGCAGGGACCTTTCCAAAGGGACTAAAAGCTTTTTTCCCCCCCTATCTGGCTGTGTCCTGGACCAGCTTGACCCCTGTGTTTCCCCATTGGAATGATGTGTGGGGCTGACCCAGGGAGGGAGATGCTGCGTGTTCTGGCTCTGCTTCATGGGCATCCATTTGGCATGTCAGAAGCACTTCCAGGCCCCACAGCACCTGCATCCCTGGGGCTCTGCTGCTCCTCTTGGGATCTGAGGGATGGATCCCTCTGCCTCGCTCCGGTTTTCCACAGTGCTCTATGGAAAAGGGATGGAGAAAGCCTGAGCGCAGGGAATCGGATCGAAGGCACCTCTGGGGGCCTCGGGAGCTCGGGAATACCATGGCATTTCCTGGCACCCATTAACACCCATTAGCATCCTGCCGTTGTCCTGCCAGGACAAAGTCCTTCCTTTCCCTAGGATAATTCCCTCTTCCCACAGCAGAGCATCCCCATTCTCCCTGGAGCCAGGGGCATTGGAACGGTGTGGACATGGCTGTCAATGAGCCCATCCTCCTTAGTGCTGGTGCCTCCTGGTTGTGTCCATGCCCTTTGGCTCCTGGGGCTGCATCCAATGAATCCATTTAGAGCATCCCAAAGGATGCTCCGTGCCCTTTTCCCTGAGGATCATTTCCTTGCTGTTACCCGCTCAGGTTCACGATGCCATTAAGGGCTTTCTTCCCCCATAACCATGCCCTGCATCTCCTCCCCTTGCAGTGCTACCGGGACCTGGCCCTGGTGAGCCGGGATGGGATGAACATCGTCCTCAACAAGATCAACCACATCCTGATGGAGAAGTACTTGAAGCTGCAGGACACGTGCCGCACCCAGGTGAGGAGGGGCAGCTCCTTCCACACCATCTACCCCAGGGTACCACGAGCAGAGGGGCTGGGGGGGGGCACAATGGGTACTGCTCCATGGCCAGGAGCTTGGGATGCTGGGGGGGGGAAGCTGCAGTGATTTCTCCCTGTGCCCAGCTCGTGTGGCTGCTGCGGGAGCTGGTGAAGAACGGGGTGCTGGGTGCTGATGGCGTCTGCATGACCTTCATGAAGCAGATTGCAGGTGAGTCGTGGCCCAGCGTCCTGCCCCACTGTGCCTGCATCCCGCCCCACTGTGCCTGCATCCTGCCCCCCGTGCCTGCATCCCACCGCGCTGTGCCTGCATCCCGCCTTGCTGTGCCTGCATCCCACCCCACTGTGCCTGCATCCTCCTGCCCCACTGTGCCTGCATCCCACCCCACTGTGCCTGCATCCCACCCCACTGTGCCTGCATCCTCCTGCCCCACTGTGCCTGCATCCCACCCCACTGTGCCTGCATCCCGCCTCGCTGTGCCTGCATCCCACCCCACTGTGCCTGCATCCTGCCCCGCCGTGCCTGCATCCCGCCTCGCTGTGCCTGCATCCCACCCCACTGTGCCTGCATCCTCCTGCCCCACTGTGCCTGCATCCTGCCCCCCCGTGCCTGCATCCCACCGCGCTGTGCCTGCATCCCACCTTGCTGTGCCTGCATCCTGCCCCACTGTGCCTTCAGCATCCCGCCTTGCTGTGCCTGCATCCCGCCCCACTGTGCCTGCATCCTCCTGCCCCACTGTGCCTGCATCCCGCCTTGCTGTGCCTGCAGCATCCTACCCCACTGTGCCTGCATCCTGCCCCACTGTGCCTGCATCCCGCCTCGCTGTGCCTGCATCCTGCCCCACTGTGCCTTCAGCATCGTGCCTTGCTGTGCCTGCATCCCGCCCCGCTGTGCCTGCATCCTCCTGCCCCACTGTGCCTGCATCCTGCCCCACTGTGCCTGCATCCTGCCTCGCTGTGCCTGCATCCCACCACGCTGTGCCTGCATCCTGCCCCACGGTGCCTGCATCCCACCTCACTGTGCCTGCATCCTGCCCCCCTGTGCCTGCATCCTCCTGCCCCGCTGTGCCTGCATCCTGCCCCACTGTGCCTGCATCCCACCTCGCTGTGCCTGCATCCTCCTGCCCCCTGTGCCTGCAGCATCCTGCCCCACGGTGCCTGCATCCCACCTCGCTGTGCCTGCAGCCTCCTGCCCCCCTGTGCCTGCATCCTCCTGCTCCCCAGCAGCGCAGTCACTCTCAGTGCTGCCCCGGGGCTGCTTTGTGCTGCGGCAAAGCCCGAGCTCTGCTGCTCCGCAGCGGGGTCCAGAGGAGCAGGGCCTCAGGCAGGCCCCAATCCTGCCCCAGCCTGGCTGCAGAGCCCAAACCTGCTGCTCCCTGCAGCCCCTCCGAAGGCTCAGACCCAGGCAGGAGCAGGCAGGGACAGGCAGGAGCAGGCAGGGACAGGCAGGAGCAGGCAGGAGCAGGCAGGGGCAGGCAGGAGCAGGCAGGGACAGGCAGGAGCAGGCAGGAGCAGGCAGGGACAGACAGGAGCAGGCAGGAGCAGGCAGGGACAGGCAGGAGCAGGCAGGGACAGGCAGGGACAGGCAGGAGCAGGCAGGAGCAGGCAGGGACAGGCAGGAGCAGGCAGGGACAGGCAGGAGCAGGCAGGGACAGGCAGGAGCAGGCAGGGACAGGCAGGAGCAGGCAGGAGCAGGCAGGGACAGGCAGGAGCAGGCAGGAGCAGGCAGGGACAGGCAGGAGCAGGCAGGGACAGGCAGGAGCAGGCAGGGGCAGGCAGGAGCAGGCAGGAGCAGGCAGGAGCAGGCAGGAGCAGGCAGGGACAGGCAGGAGCAGGCAGGGACAGGCAGGAGCAGGCAGGGGCAGGCAGGAGCAGGCAGGGACAGGCAGGAGCAGGCAGGGACAGGCAGGAGCAGGCAGGAGCGGGCAGGGACAGGCAGGAGCGGGCAGGGACAGGCAGGGACAGGCAGGAGCAGGCAGGGACAGGCAGGAGCAGGCAGGGACAGGCAGGAGCAGGCAGGAGCAGGCACAGGAAGCGCCGTGGCTCCCGTTGCTGCCGGCTCCCAGCGCCGGGATCCTCCTTAACCCCGGCTCTGGGACAGCCGGAGCCGCGCGCGTGCGAGCGCCTTTCCTGCCCCACAGGAACGGGGCCTCTTCCGTGTTCCCTGCCCCACGGAGGAGGGAGCCGGGGGCCCGCCTGACCTTGGCCTTGCCTTGGGTGTGCCTGGAAAGGGCAGGAAGAGGGGAGCGGGAGCCAAGCAGCATCCCCCGGCTGCGCCCTCCCCACGCAGGGCGGCCGCTGCAGGCACTGCCCTGCCCCTGGAGCGTGAAGCTCCCTCCATGCCCAGCCCTGCTCCATGAAGGAGCCTTTATCCAGCTCCTGGATCCCAGCTCCTTTGCTCCCCAGCATCACGGTCCTGGTGCTTTAAGGCAGCCAAGGCCCCCCATCAATCCCCCAACACCAACCCCATTCCATGCATCCAGCTCCCCCCATGGATCCCCCAACACCAACCCCATTCCATGCAGCCACACCCCCCAACACAAACCCCATTCCATGCAGCCACCCCCCATCCATCCCCCAACACCAACCCCATTCCATGCATCCAGCTCCCCCCATCCATCCCCCAACACAAACCCCATTCCATGCATCCACCTCCCCCCATCAATCCCCCAACACAAACCCCATTCCATGCAGCCACCCCCCATCAATCCCCCAACACAAACCCCATTCCATGCATCCACCTCCCCCCATCCATCCCCCAACACCAACCCCATTCCATGCAGCCTCCCCCCATCAATCCCCCAACACAAACCCCATTCCATGCTATTCCATGCATCCACCTCCCCCACACAAACCCCATTCCATGCTATTCCATGCAGCTTCCCCCCATCAATCCCCCAACACCAACCCCATTCCATGCTATTCCATGCATCCACCTCCCCCAACACCAACCCCATTCCATGCTATTCCATGCATCCACCTCCCCCAACACAAACCCCATTCCATGCTATTCCATGCATCCACCTCCCCCCACACCAACCCCATTCCATGCTATTCCATGCATCCACCGCCCCCCAACACCAACCCCAATCCATGCTATTCCATGCATCCACCTCCCCCCACACCAACCCCATTCCATGCTATTCCATGCATCCACCTCCCCCAACACAAACCCCATTCCATGCATCCACCTCCCCCCACACAAACCCCATTCCATGCTATTCCATGCATCCACCTCCCCCCACACCAACCCCATTCCATGCTATTCCATGCATCCACCTCCCCCAACACAAACCCCATTCCATGCATCCACCTCCCCCCACACAAACCCCATTCCATGCTATTCCATGCATCCACCTCCCCCAACAGAAACCCCATTCCATGCTATTCCATGCATCCACCTCCCCCAACACCAACCCCATTCCATGCTATTCCATGCAGCTTCCCCCCATCAATCCCCCAACACAAACCCCATTCCATGCAGCCACCCCCCATCCATCCCTGTCCTGGGTTCAGCAGTCCCCCAACACCAACCCCATTCCATGCTATTCCATGCATCCACCTCCCCCCACACCAACCCCATTCCATGCTATTCCATGCATCCACCTCCCCCAACACCAACCCCATTCCATGCTATTCCATGCATCCACCCCCCCCACACCAACCCCATTCCATGCTATTCCATGCATCCACCTCCCCCCAACACCAACCCCATTCCATGCTATTCCATGCATCCACCTCCCCCCAACACCAACCCCATTCCATGCTATTCCATGCATCCACCTCCCCCAACACCAACCCCATTCCATGCTATTCCATGCATCCGCCTGCCCCCATGGATCCCCCAACACCCGGAGCGCGTTGCAGGCAGGGGATGCAGGGATGGAGGTGCTCCAGGAGCCTGGCGGTGGATCCACACTGGGTTCCCAATGGCTTTCCCCCTCCTCTTGTGCTTGTGCTTCCAGGTGGGGATGTGACAGCCAAGAACATCTGGCTGGCTGAGAACGTGCTGGAGATCCTCACCGAGCAGAGGTAGGGATGCTGGGATCCATTGGGAAGAGCCTGCCATGGAGGGGAGACCTCCCCATCCCTCTCGAGGGGGTGCTTGTCCTCACATGGGGTGCTGATGGGGTTCCCTGCACCTCGGCCTCCTTGGGGTGCTGTCCCTTTGGGGGGGCATCAACCGGCTTGGAAGAGACCTTTAGGATCCCCGCTTCCACCCCTCTTGCTGCAGGTGAGGTGTGGGGGAGCATCCTGAAGCCTCTCCCTATGGATCTGGGGGGCTCTGCTGCATGTCCCTCCCGTGGCCCTAACACACAGCACCCAGTGGGTGCCCAGCGCACACTGGGAGCGGCATTCCAGGAATATTCCCTTCCTGAGCTCCAAAGGAGGGGGGGGGAGTTCCTTTTGGAGGATTTAATTGCCCTAAAAGCTTCCTGTGTTTAAAGAGCTCCTGCTCCAGCAGGGCTAAAAGAGGCCAGGCCAGCTGGGAAGCATTGTCCTATGGGATCAGCACTGTCCTATGGGATCAGCATTGTCCTATGGGATCAGCATTGTCCTATGGGCTCAGCACTGTCCTATGGGATCAGCATTGTCCTATGGGATCAGCACTGTCCTATGGGATCAGCATTGTCCTATGGGATCAGCACTGTCCTATGGGATCAGCACTGTCCTATGGGATCAGCATTGTCCTATGGGCTCAGCATTGTCCTATGGGCTCAGCACTGTCCTATGGGATCAGCACTGTCCTATGGGATCAGCATTGTCCTATGGGATCAGCACTGTCCTATGGGATCAGCATTGTCCTATGGGCTCAGCATTGTCCTATGGGCTCAGCACTGTCCTTTGGGATCAGCATTGTCCTATGGGATCAGCAGTGTCCTATGGGCTCAGCATTGTCCTATGGGATCAGCACTGTCCTATGGGATCAGCATTGTCCTATGGGATCAGCAGTGTCCTATGGGCTCAGCACTGTCCTATGGGATCAGCATTGTCCTATGGGATCAGCATTGTCCTATGGGATCAGCATTGTCCTATGGGATCAGCATTGTCCTATGGGATCAGCATTGTCCTATGGGCTCAGCACTGTCCTATGGGATCAGCATTGTCCTATGGGATCAGCATTGTCCTATGGGCTCAGCACTGTCCTTTGGGATCAGCACTGTCCTATGGGATCAGCATTGTCCTATGGGCTCAGCACTGTCCTATGGGATCAGCATTGTCCTATGGGATCAGCAGTGTCCTATGGGATCAGCATTGTCCTATGGGATCAGCATTGTCCTATGGGATCAGCACTGTCCTATGGGCTCAGCACCGTCCTATGGGATTGGCACTGTCCTATGGGATCGGCATTGTCCTATGGGCTCAGCACTGTCCTTTGGGATCAGCACTGTCCTATGGGCTCAGCACTGTCCTATGGGCTCAGTACTGTCCTATGGGCTCAGCATTGTCCTATGGGCTCAGCATTGTCCTATGGGATCAGCACTGTCCTATGGGATCAGCATTGTCCTATGGGATCAGCATTGTCCTATGGGATCAGCACTGTCATATGGGATCAGCACTGTCCTATGGGATCAGCACTGTCCTATGGGATCAGCACTGTCCTTTGGGATCAGCATTGTCCTATGGGATCAGCACTGTCCTATGGGATCAGCATTGTCCTATGGGATCAGCATTGTCCTATGGGATCAGCATTGTCCTATGGGCTCAGCACTGTCCTTTGGGCTCAGCACTGTCCTATGGGATCAGCATTGTCCTATGGGATCAGCACTGTCCTATGGGCTCAGCACTGTCCTATGGGCTCAGCACTGTCCTATGGGATCAGCATTGTCCTATGGGATCAGCACTGTCCTATGGGCTCAGCACTGTCCTATGGGATCAGCATTGTCCTATGGGATCAGCACTGTCCTATGGGCTCAGCATTGTCCTATGGGATCAGCACTGTCCTATGGGATCACCACTGTCCTATGGGATCAGCACTGTCCTATGGGATCAGCACTGTCCTATGGGCTCAGCACTGTCCTATGGGCTCAGCACCGCCCTTTGGGCTCAGCACCGCCCTTTGCTGGCAGAGCAGGCAGGATTCCTCCTCGCAGTCCCTCTCATTGCTTCCCAATGGCACGGGGACAGCAGGGATTTACCCCCACCTCTTGCCCCGGGGCTTAGCAATGGGCTCGGGAGAGCCCTGGTTTGCCTGCAGGGATCAGCTCCCAGGGAGGTTTGGCCTGGAAGGGCCCCATGGGGAGGGGATGGGGAAGGAGAGAGCCCTGGGGCCTCCTGGGCTTGGCTCTTCACCATCTCCCCCCTGCCTTGGTGCTAAGCTCAACTCTTCCCGTGCTCTCTGAGCCCATTCCATGCTGTCTGAGCCCATTCCATGCTGTCTGAGTCCATTCCATGCTCTCTGAGCCCATTCCATGCTGTTTGAGCCCATTCCATCCTCTTGAAGCCCATTCCATGCTGTTTGAGCCCATTCCATCCTCTTGAAGCCCATTCCATCCTCTTGAAGCCCATTCCATGCTATTGAAGCCCATTCCATGCTCTTGAAGCCCATTCCATGCTATTGAAGCCCATTCCATGCTCTTGAAGCCCATTCCATGCTATTGAAGCCCATTCCATGCTGTCTGAGCCCATTCCATGCTGTTTGAGCCCATTCCATCCTCTTGAAGCCCATTCCATGCTGTTTGAGCCCATTCCATGCTGTTTGAGCCCATTCCATTCTCTTGAAGCCCATTCCATGCTGTTTGAGCCCATTCCATCCTCTTGAAGCCCATTCCATGCTGTTTGAGCCCATTCCATCCTCTTGAAGCCCATTCCATGCTGTCTGAGCCCGTTCCATGCTGTCTGAGCCCATTCCATCCTCTTGAAGCCCATTCCATGCTATTGAAGCCCATTCCATGCTATTGAAGCCCATTCCATGCTACTGAAGCCCATTCCATGCTGTTTGAGCCCATTCCATCCTCTTGAAGCCCATTCCATCCTCTTGAAGCCCATTCCATGCTATTGAAGCCCATTCCATGCTATTGAAGCCCATTCCATGCTACTGAAGCCCATTCCATGCTGCTTGAGCCCATTCCATCCTCTTGAAGCCCATTCCATGCTGTCTGAGCCCATTCCATCCTCTTGAAGCCTATTCCATCCTCTTGAAGCCCATTCCATGCTCTTTGAGCCCATTCCATGCTCTTTGAGCCCATTCCATGCTCTTGAAGCCCATTCCATGCTCTTGAAGCCCATTCCATGCTACTGCCGTGCTGTTCCCCTGTGCTGGTCCTGCTCACTACAGCCTCTGAGCACGTTGGGAATGCTCCCCATCCCCATCCTCATCCCCATCCCCATCCCCGTCCCCATCCCAAACCCAACAAGTGCCAGCAGCTGGATCAGAGGAGCACGAGGAGCATCCTCAATGGGGTCCCGAGGCCACCTCTGGCTGTGGGGCTGGGCTCCCAGCTGCATCCTTGCTGCATCCTTGCTGCATCCCAGCTGCATCCTTGCTGCATCCCTGCTGCATCCCAGCTGCATCCTTGCTGCATCCCAGCTGCATCCCTGCTGCATCCCAGCTGCATCCCAGCTGCATCCTTGCTGCATCCCAGCAGCATCCTTGCTGCATCCCAGCTGCATCCCAGCAGCATCCCAGCTGCATCCCTGCTGCATCCCTGCTGCATCCCTGCTGCATCCAAGGTGCATCCTTGCTGCATCCCTGCTGCATCCCAGCTGCATCCCTGCTGCATCCCAGCTGCATCCCAGCTGCATCCCAGCTGGGCCTTGGCACCGGAGCAGATGCTGAGGGTTAAAGCTCATTGCTGGAAGACCAATGGAGCATCCCAGCCAGCACTGGGGGGGGTTGGAAGGGAGCCCAGGTTGTGGGGGGGGCCTGCAGCTCCTGGCTGAGATTTATGGGCTTTCATTAAGGGCAGGCTTTAATTAGAGCCAGGCTTATGAGGGGCTGGTGCCGCAGGGGGGGGATGCTGAGGGCTTTCATTAAAGGTGTTCCCAGCAGAGCTGCTGCTGCTCCCTCATCCTCCTGCCCCATTCCCTGGGATGCTCCTCCTCATCCCGGATGGCAGCGTTCCCATTGCCCTGCCTCTCACCCCAATGCATCCCATGCCTGTGCGTGGTGGGTTCCTCCCTCCTCTCTGACAGCATCTTCGGTCCATGCCCAGCTCCTCGCTGACCCAGACCCCCCCCCTCCCAAGCATCCTTCCCGATTCCCACCTCCTTCCTCCCGCAGCCCATTCCCACCGGATCATGAACAGGGAAGCAAACCCGGATGCTGCTGGGTTGATGGCTTGGAGCTGCTGCCCGCAGTGGGGCTTGATTTACAGCTCCTGGGGCTGATCCATCACCGTTCCCGGCATCCAGCACAAACAAGGGAGCTCCTAATTCTGGAGCAGGGCTGTTTCTCGTGCAGCTCAGATAAGGGAGGTTGGGAATGGGGCACACCCAGCAGCAAGCAGCTCTGAGGGAGTGGGATGGGAGCAGCAGCTCCTGGAGAACCAAAGGGATTTGGTGTCATGGAATGGGTTGGGATGAAGGGAGCTTAAAGCCCGTCCAGCTCCATCCCAATCCTGCCTGGTCCCTGTATCAGAGAGCTGGATAAAGGGATGGAGGGGATCCGCATTCGGACAACCCCACGTTGGGCAGGAGTTGATCTGCTGGAGCAATAGGAAGATTCCAAAGGGCTTTCCATGACCTTTAAGGCCCCTTCGGATCCATCCTGGATGGATCCATGGGCCAACGGCCTGAGGTTCAGCACAGCCCCGGTCACTCAGATCACCCCAACCCCACAGAGCGCTCTTGGCTTAGGGAAGCAGCTGGAACGGTTCCTTGGTGGAAAAGGAGCCGGGGTGTTCCTCAGCATCCTGATGGATGTGAGCATCCTGATGGATGTGAGCATCCCGGCTCCTCTCCACCACTGCATGGCCAAGGGGAAGAGGGGAGCTTGAGGTGGGCTCCGGAGCTCTTCCCTCTGAGGATGCTGAGGGGGCAAGAAGCCGGCATCCATAGGGAGCAGGGGATGCTCCCTGCCCTCGCTCCTCTCTTTGCCCCGTGTTTAAACCCCTCGGGGGCCGCGGATCCCTCCTGGAGGAGGCTGGAGGTGACGTTGGGGCTGCGCTGCTCCCTTTGCAGAGAGTGGGTGCTGAAGAGCAGCCTCCTCATCGCCATGGCCGTGTACACCTACCTGCGGCTCATCGTGGACCACCACGGCACGGCCCAGCTCCAGGGCCTGCGCCAGAAGGAGGTGGAATTCTGCATCTCCCTGCTCCGGGAACGGGTGAGCCCCAGGGATGAGGGCGCTGCCTCCATAGCGGTCCCCATTGCCCCTTGTTCCTTATGGAGCTGGAAGTGTGGTTATTGCCACCTTCGGAACCCGTCGCTCCCCCCCATTCCCATCACATTCCAGGCTGGAAAGGGGAGGCTTGATCTTCCCCCTGCATCATCCTTCCCATGCGGGGGAGGCACCGCGTGTGGCTGCCCGCATCCTGCCCTATGGGTGCTGCAGCTCCATCCCCATCGCCCCACGTGCTGCCTGCTCTCCCTTTCCCCTTGCCAGGCAGGAAGGACCAAGCCTTGGCATGGGAATGGCACATTCCCAAGCTCCTTGGTGGCTTTGCAAGAGAGGGAACAGCTTGAAATCGCTGCTGCCCTTTCCCTGTGCCCCCCCCTCCCCAGCCCCAGATTCCCATCCCACTGCTTCCAAAGGGGAGCAGGGATGCGGATGCCTTCCCCTCCGCAGCCCAGCGGTCCCTGAGGCTTTTCCATCCCTTTTTGTTCCAGTTCATGGACTGCTTCATGATCGGCCGGGACCTGGTGCGGCTGCTGCAGAACGTGGCCCGCATCCCGGAGTTCGAGCTGCTCTGGAAGGACATCATCCACAACCCGCAGGTCCTCAGCGCCCAGTTCACAGGTGAGGCCAGCGGCTCCATCCCAGCGCCCATTCCAGTGTCCCAGCACCCATTCCAGTGTCCCAGCGCCCATTCCAGTGTCCCGGCGCCCATTCCAGTGTCCCAGCACCCATTCCAGTGTCCCAGCGCCCATTCCAGTGTCCCGGCGCCCATTCCAGTGTCCCAGCGCCCATTCCAGTGTCCCAGCACCCATTCCAGTGTCCCAGCGCCCATTCCAGTGTCCCGGCGCCCATTCCAGTGTCCCGGCGCCCATTCCAGTGTCCCAGCGCCCATTCCAGTCCCGGCGCCCATTCCAGTGTCCTGGTTCCCATTCCAGTGTCCCGGCGCCCATTCCAGTGTCCCGGCGCCCATTCCAGTGTCCCGGCGCCCATTCCAGTGTCCCAGCACCCATTCCAGTGTCCTAGCACCCATTCCAGTGTCCCACCACCCATTCCAGTGTCCCACCACCCATTCCAGTGTCCCACCACCCATTCCAGTGTCCCAGCACCCATTCCAGTCCCAGCGCCCATTCCAGTGTCCCGGTGCCCATTCCAGTGCCCCAGCGCCCATTCCAGTGTCCCAGCGCCCATTCCAGTCCCAGCACCCATTCCAGTGTCCCGGTGCCCATTCCAGTGTCCCACCACCCATTCCAGTCCCAGCACCCATTCCAGTGTCCCGGCACCCATTCCAGTGTCCCAGCACCCATTCCAGTGTCCCAGCACCCATTCCAGTGTCCCAGCACCCATTCCAGTCCCAGCACCCATTCCAGTGTCCCAGCACCCATTCCAGTGTCCCCGCGCCCATTCCAGTGTCCCAGCGCCCATTCCAGTGTCCCAGCGCCCATTCCAGTGTCCCAGCACCCATTCCAGTGTCCCAGCGCCCATTCCAGTGTCCCAGCACCCATTCCAGTGTCCCAGCACCCATTCCAGTGTCCCGGCACCCATTCCAGTGTCCCAGCGCCCGTTCCAGTCCCAGCACCCATTCCAGTGTCCCGGCGCCCATTCCAGTGTCCCGGCGCCCATTCCAGCGTCCCGGCACCCATTCCAGCGTCCCGGCACCCATTCCAGCGTCCCAGCGCCCATTCCAGCGTCCCGGCACCCATTCCAGTGTCCCGGCGCCCATTCCAGTGTCCCGGTGCCCATTCCAGTGTCCCGGTGCCCATTCCAGTGTCCCAGCACCCATTCCAGTGTCCCAGCACCCATTCCAGTGTCCCGGTTCCCATTCCAGTGTCCCAGTGCCCATTCCAGTGTCCCAGCGCCCATTCCAGTGTCCCGGCGCCCATTCCAGTGTCCCAGCGCCCATTCCAGTGTCCCAGCGCCCATTCCAGTGTCCCGGCGCCCATTCCAGTGTCCCAGCACCCATTCCAGTGTCCCAGCACCCATTCCAGTGTCCCGGCACCCATTCCAGTGTCCCAGCACCCATTCCAGTGTCCCGGCGCCCATTCCAGTGTCCCGGCGCCCATTCCAGTGTCCTGGTTCCCATTCCAGTGTCCCGGCACCCATTCCAGTGTCCCGGCGCCCATTCCAGTGTCCCAGCACCCATTCCAGTGTCCCACCGCCCATTCCAGTCCCAGCACCCATTCCAGTGTCCCGGCGCCCATTCCAGTGTCCCGGCGCCCATTCCAGTGTCCCAGCACCCATTCCAGTGTCCCGGCTCCCATTCCAGTCCCAGCACCCATTCCAGTGTCCCAGCACCCATTCCAGTGTCCCGGCACCCATTCCAGTGTCCCGGTTCCCATTCCAGTGTCCCGGCGCCCATTCCAGTGTCCTGGCACCCATTCCAGTCCCAGCGCCCATTCCAGTGTCCCAGCGCCCATTCCAGTGTCCCAGCACCCATTCCAGTGTCCCAGCACCCATTCCAGTCCCAGCGCCCATTCCAGTGTCCCAGCACCCATTCCAGTGTCCCAGCGCCCATTCCAGTGTCCCAGCACCCATTCCAGTGTCCTAGCACCCATTCCAGTGTCCCAGCGCCCGTTCCAGTCCCAGCACCCATTCCAGTGTCCCGGCGCCCATTCCAGTGTCCCAGCGCCCGTTCCAGTCCCAGCACCCATTCCAGTGTCCCGGCGCCCATTCCAGTGTCCCGGCGCCCATTCCAGTGTCCCAGCACCCATTCCAGTGTCCCAGCGCCCATTCCAGTGTCCCAGCGCCCATTCCAGTGTCCCAGCGCCCATTCCAGTGTCCCAGCGCCCATTCCAGTGTCCCGGCGCCCATTCCAGTGTCCCGGCGCCCATTCCAGTGTCCCGGCACCCATTCCAGTGTCCCGGCACCCATTCCAGTCCCAGCACCCATTCCAGTGTCCCAGCACCCATTCCAGTGTCCCAGCGCCCATTCCAGTGTCCCAGCACCCATTCCAGTGTCCCAGCGCCCATTCCAGTGTCCCAGCACCCATTCCAGTGTCCTAGCACCCATTCCAGTGTCCCAGCGCCCGTTCCAGTCCCAGCACCCATTCCAGTGTCCCAGCGCCCATTCCAGTGTCCCAGCGCCCATTCCAGTGTCCCGGCGCCCATTCCAGTGTCCCGGCACCCATTCCAGTGTCCCGGCGCCCATTCCAGTGTCCCGGCGCCCATTCCAGTGTCCCGGCGCCCATTCCAGTGTCCCGGCGCCCATTCCAGTGTCCCGGCGCCCATTCCAGTGTCCTGGCACCCATTCCAGTCCCAGCGCCCATTCCAGTGTCCCGGCGCCCATTCCAGTGTCCTAGCACCCATTCCAGTGTCCCGGCACCCATTCCAGTGTCCCAGCACCCATTCCAGTGTCCTAGCACCCATTCCAGTCCCAGCACCCGCATAGGGAAGAGCACCTTCAGCCCCCGTTTATCAGCTTAAAGCCATTCCCTTTGTCCCGTCCCCTCCATCCCTCTGCCAAAGCCTCCTTCCAAGCAGTTTGCAGCCCTCCCTTCTCCCCATCCACCCCCCCCCCCCCGTTTTCCCCCGTGCCTCATCCTCGGTGCCTTTTCCCAGGGAGGAATTGCATTCCCATGCAGGATTCCCTTGTGCCATCCCTGCTCTCTGCCCGGGACATGGGGACCGTTCCCTGTTGGTCACAGCGTGGCACTTGGGGTCCGGAATTCCCTATTCCTCCTGCAGATCCCATCCCTGTGCAGCCTCTCTCCCTTTCTCCCAGCTCCTTCCTGGCATCCTTACAGTGATCTCCCTCCACCAAGGAGCCCTTTTCCAGCCTGATCCCTCTTGAGGGAGCGAAGCTCAATGCTCCGAGCTCAGCTCCATGCGGAGGCTGGCAGATCCCAGCCTGGATCCCGCTCATGCCCTGCAAGGGCTGAGCCTCCCCTCTCTCTTCCCAGGTGTCCTCCAGCTCCTGCAGTCCAGGACATCCCGCAAGTTCCTTGCTTGTCGCCTCACTCCCGACATGGAAACCAAGCTGCTCTTCATGACCTCGCGGGTAATTCCAGCGCAGGGACGGGGAGCATCCATCCCAATCCCATTCCCATTCCCTCGCCAGCACTGGAGCATCCCTGTGGGCAACGGGCAGCAGAGCTTTGCTGCTTCTGACAGCGACGGGGATGGCTCTGAGGCATCCATGGGAGGCCGGATCCAGCGTGGCCAGGGGATGTTGGCAGAGTGGAGCTTCAGGGATGGCGAAGGGATGCTCCGTGAGCCCCTCGCCTCCTCCCCTTCGCCCCCAGGTGCGGTTTGGGCAGCAGAAGCGGTACCAGGACTGGTTCCAGAGGCAGTACCTGTCCACCCCGGACAGCCAATCCCTGCGCTGCGACCTCATCCGGTACATCTGCGGCGTGGTGCATCCCTCCAACGAGGTGCTGAGCTCCGACATCCTCCCGCGCTGGGCCATCATCGGCTGGCTGCTCACCACCTGCACGGTGAGCCCGGGGATCCCCATCCCCATGGGAATGGTTTCCTGTGCAGGGAGCGGGGTTGGGATGCAGGAGGGAGTTGGGATGAAGGAGAGCAGCCCAAGTGCTGCTGCGCATCGGGTCCTTTGCGATGGGCAGCTCACTTCCAGCTTGTGCAGCCGATGCTTAAGGGGTTCCAATGGGGGTTTTGGGACCTTGCGGCTTCCCCGCTCTCCATCCCAGCCCATCCCGATCCATGATCCATAATGCACAGCCACTGCTGCATCCCCATGGAGCAGAGGCCTGGAGCTGCCCTGGCTCAAGGACTCCCCGCTGCTCCCTACAAGCTCTGCCCTGTTTCATGGGAAGAGCATCCCGGCTCCGGCAGGAGGAGCGCATCCGTGTTGGGAGCTCAGCACCTTCACCAATCCCATGTGTGCTCTCTCCCCGCTCCAGTCCAACGTTGCTGCTTCCAATGCCAAACTGGCCTTATTCTATGACTGGCTCTTCTTCAGCCCCGAGAAGGACAGCATCATGAACATAGGTATCCATGGGGAATCTGCCTTTGGATGCTCAGCGGTTGGGGAAGGGCAGCGAGAGGTAGAGGGGACGTGGTGGGGAAAGCCTGGGTCATGGAACCATGGATGAAGGCAGCTTCAAGCCCATCCAGCTCCATAGGCAGGGACACCTTCCACTGGGGCAGGGCATGGGGCAGCCACAGCTGCTCCATCCAACCCCATCCCACCGCCCTCGTGGGGACGAGCTGCTTCCCGTTGGGATCTGTTCCTCCCCACCCCATCCCTGCATCCCTTGTCCCAAAGCCCCTCTTCCAGGTTCCCCCGCAGCCCCCTTCCGGCGCTGGCGCTGCACCCGAGGGTGCATGCAAGGGTGCTGAGCGCCTCCCTTGCTGTGTCCGCATGCAGAGCCTGCCATCCTGGTGATGCACCACTCCATGAAGCCTCATCCTGCCATCACCGCCACGCTGCTGGATTTCATGTGCCGGGTGAGCTGCCCCTAGGGAATTCCACTGGGATTAGACCTGGATAAGGGGGAGGGCTGGGAAAGCATCGAGGCTCTTGGTGCACCCCAGGAGCATCCCTGGAGCTTGGAGTGGAGCATGGGGCCCCCCATAAGCAAATCCTTCCCGAAGGAAAAGGCTTTGGAATGGTCCCCTTTAAAGCCCTGAGGGCAAGCAGAATGTCCCAGCCCAGGCAGGGATCAGAGCCATCATCTCCCTGTCAAAGGCCAGGGAGCAGAGCTGGGGCTGCCCCTGCATCCTGCGGGAAGCAGGGATGGGAGCTGCCGGTCCCTGGGATAACGCAGGTGGGAGGGAAGGGCCGGTTGATGTGCAGGGAGCTCCCCTCTCCTGCAGCCATTGCTGCTGCTGGAGCCTGGCCCTGGGGCTCCCCACAGCATCCCGAGGGTGTTCCTCATCCCTGCTGGATGCCCTTCCCTTTGGGAAGGGGAAAGGGAAGCAGGAAAGGGCTGGTCCCCTTTTACCCCATCCGATGGATCCCACTGGATGCTCACCCCATGCTCCAGGTACCTGAGGATGCCCCAAGGAGCTGAGCCCTGGCTTCCTGCGTTAACCTGGAATTCTGCTTTCAGATCATTCCCAACTTCTACCCCCCTCTGGAAGCTCACGTCCGGCAAGGGGTCTTCAATTCCCTGACCCACATCGTGGAGAAGCGGGTCCTTGCGTAAGACAAATCCCAATAATGGGATGCTCTTGGGTCCATCCTGGTGCTGAGGCTTGGGGGGGGGGTCCCCAAAAACTGTAGGAGCATCCCCATGGCCAGCCCTTGCCATGCAGCTCCCGCTGGCCCCCAGAGCCATTGGGAAGCCCAAATGAGGGGAGCTTGTGGTCCATAAGGAAGCAAAGGGTTTTCCTCATCCTTTTCCCAGCCATTTGGCCCCTCTCTTTGACAATCCCAAGCTGGACAAGGAGCTCCGGGCCATGCTAAGGGAGAAGTTCCCGGAGTTCTGCAGTTCACCCTCACCCCCCATCGAAGGTAAGGATTGGGGCTGGGGGTGGAGGGGGATATTCCAGAGCATCCCCGTGTGTTCCCGGATAACCTGAGCCCCTTTTCCCAGTCAAAATTGAGGAGCCCGTTTCCATGGAGATGGAGAACCACATGGCGGAGAAGGATGACAGTTGCTATGACAACGCCGAGGCCGCCTTCAGTGATGATGAGGAGGATCTGAACAGCAAAGGTGAGGAAGGCTCCTCCTGCAGCACCTCCGCATCCTGTGGCCCCAGTGCCCTGCTCCACCTTCCCTGCAGGGCGAGGATCCCACACAATTCCCAGTGGGAATTGCTCACCCCCCCCCCACCACCTTGAGCTCCAGGTTTCCTTCTGTTGGGGTTGAGGCCAATGCTCTGCTGCTTCCCAATCCCGGGCAGCCAGCCTGGGATGTGATCCACAGCCATGCTCCAAGGAAAGCTGGGATCCATCCCCTTGTTATTCCCGGAGCTTGGACCCTTCAGATGTAGCCCTTTCCCCTCTCTCTCTCGGCATGGGACTGGTTGGGAATCCCTATGGCAGATGCTGCTCTGCTTTGGGAATGGGGCGTCTCAGGCTCAGGCCTCTTCATTGCTCATCCAACGTTGGTTTTCCTTACACTCCCTCCCTCTGGAATGGGGCAGAAAAGGCCGGGATCCCCTCTATGGATCCCCCTTTGTGGATCCGGAGGCATCTCAGGCTGTTCCTCCCCTTGCTGCTGGGACTTGTGTGGGGCAGAGGATGCGACCCTGGGCTCCAGCATCCCCCTCAGTAGCCCCATTGAGCTGTGCTGCCCGCTTGGGACCCCCAAGAGGGCCCCAGTGACAGCAAAGGACAGCGGCCACCTTGTGCCATCCCTTGGTGGCACCTCCTGGTGCTTCATCCATGGAGCAGCTTGGGAAGCTCCATGGAATGGGAGCCACAATTCCAACCACCTTCCCCCCCCCCCGAACCCATCCTGCATCCCTATTCCTGGTACCCTCAACACGGTTTGGAAGGGGGAAAGCAAGAGATGAGGCCGGAGCAGTGCCCCCCCCAGCCCCTCCCAGCCCCACACATCTAGGGCAGAGATTGGCCCCTTCCACCGTTGCTTGCTTTGCTGCAGGAAAGAAGAGGGAATTCAGGTTCCATCCCATCAAGGAAGCCATCGTGGAGGAGCCTGTGGACATCACCCCCTTCCTGGACCAGCTGGACGAGTCCCTGAAGGATAAGGTCCTGCAGCTGCAGAAGGGGAGGTTGGTGATGCTCGCTTGTGTCGACCCCTTTCCGGGATCCTCATTCCCCCTTGGAATGACGGATGGGATGCTTGGAACGCTCAGAGCAATAGGGAAAGGCAAAAGGCTCCACGCTGCACGCTCTGCTGGGGGATCGAGGGATTGAGGTGATGCAGGCCCCTTGGGATGCATCCCCACGTGGTCCCTGCGCTTCCCAACCCCGGATTCCCAATGCCCTTGGAATGAGCTCCTCCTAAAGGAGGTTCTAAAAGGCTCTGGCTTTGCAGACCTTGGCACGGGGGCTCATTCCATGGGATTTCTGTGCCCAGGGCTGGAATTGCACTTCAGCAATGGGCTTTCGAGCCCATTCTCCTCCTGTCTGCCTGGCACCAGCACCCATCCAAACTGGTGCCGGGCCTGGGGTTTGCTCCCAAGCACGGAGCCCCCCCCTTTGTCCCTGCTCCCGGCACCTTTCCTCCGTTCACTTGGATTTCCTCTTGGATTTGTGCTCCAGCGACACGGAAGCCCAGTGTGAGGTCATGCAGGAAATCGTGGATCAAGTCCTGGAGGTAACGGCCCAATCCCTGGGATTTCACTCTGGGAAAGCAGCAGCAGGGATGGGGGCTTTGGGGTGAAGGGACCCTAAAGCTCAGCCTTCCACTGGAGCATCCCTCCGGGATGCGGCTTCTCCCTTCATCCCAGCGCCCCTTTGGGAGCCTCCTGCTCCCTGCTCTGGGAATACTGCAGTTGGGTGGTGGAGGACTCCATCCCTTGCTCCCTTTAGACTCAAGGGGCCCTTGAGCTGCTTCTTCCCACTGGGAACACTGGGAAAGGCTTTGCCAAGGGGAATTCCTCCCTGCCAAATGGGGCAGGAAGACGACTGCGAGCATCCCTGCGGCCGGGCATCCTCGTGCTTCCTGCCCTCATCCCTCCCTTTCCCCCTTGCCAGGAGGACTTTGACTCGGAGCAGCTCTCGGGGCTGGCCTCCTGCCTGCAGGAGCTCTTCAAGGCTCACTTCCGAGGGGAGGTTTTGCCGGAGGAAATCACGGAGGAGTAAGGAGCAATTCCCCCGGGATTCCCTTGGGATTGGGGCCCGTTGGCAGGAGCATCCCGGCGACGCGGGGGGCTCCCACCCTGGTACCCACCATTGGAGCACCCGGAGCTCTGAGTCCTGGCCTCATCCTGCAGGTCCCTGGAGGAGTCCGTGGGGAAGCCGCTCTACCTAATATTTAGGTAGGGCTATTCCAGAATCCTGGCATTGCTCTGGGAAGGGAGGCCTTGGTGCCAGCGTGGGTCCGGCTCGTCTGGGGGGGGGCTCCGGAGAGGGGGAGTTTGTGGGCTCCAAGCCAGGGATGGGGGAGATGGGCATGGAAGCATCATGGAATGGGTTGGGATGAAGGGAGCTGATGGGGGAGATGAGCATGGAAGCATCCCAGCACCATGGAATGGGTTGGGATGAAGGGAGCTGAAAGCTCATCCAGCTCCAAGCCAGAGATGGGGGAGATGGGCATGGAAGCATCATGGAATGGGTTGGGATGAAGGGAGCTGATGGGGCAGATGAGCATGGAAGCATCCCAGCACCATGGAATGGGTTGGGATGAAGGGAGCTGAAAGCTCATCCAGCTCCAAGCCAGAGATGGGGGAGATGGGCATGGAAGCATCATGGAACCATGGGATGGGTTGGGATGAAGGGAGGAGCTGATGGGGGAGATGGGCATGGAAGCATCATGGAATCATGGAATGGGTTGGGATGAAGGGAGCTGATGGGGGAGATGGGCATGGAAGCATCCTGGAACCATGGGATGGGTTGGGATGAAGGGAGCTGAAAGCTCATCCAGCTCCTGTGCAGAGATGGGGGAGATGGGCATGGAAGCATCATGGAACCATGGGACGGGTTGGGATGAAGGGAGCTGATGGGGGAGATGGGCCTGGAAGCATCATGGAACCATGGGATGGGTTGGGATGAAGGGAGCTGATGGGGGAGATGGGCCTGGAAGCATCATGGAACCATGGAATGGGTTGGGATGAAGGGAGCTGATGGGGGAGATGGGCCTGGAAGCATCATGGAACCATGGAATGGGTTGGGATGAAGGGAGCTGATGGGGCAGATGAGCATGGAAGCATCATGGAACCATGGAATGGGTTGGGATGAAGGGAGCTGAAAGCTCATCCAGCTCCTGAGCAGGGATGGGGGAGATGGGAATGGAAGCATCCCAGCACCATGGGATGGGTTGGGATGAAGGACGCTGATGGGGGAGATGGGCATGGAAGCATCATGGAGCCATGGGAGGGGTTGGGATGAAGGGAGCTGATGGGGGAGATGGGCCTGGAAGCATCATGGAATCATGGAATGGGTTGGGATGAAGGGAGCTGATGGGGGAGATGGGCATGGAAGCATCATGGAACCATGGAATGGGTTGGGATGAAGGGAGCTGATGAGGGAGGTGGGCCTGGAAGCATCCCGGAACCATGGAATGGGTTGGGATGAAGGGAGCTGATGGGGCAGATGAGCATGGAAGCATCATGGAACCATGGAATGGGTTGGGATGAAGGGAGCTGATGGGGGAGATGGGCATGGAAGCATCATGGAACCATGGAATGGGTTGGGATGAAGGGAGCTGATGAGGGAGGTGGGCCTGGAAGCATCCCGGAACCATGGAATGGGTTGGGATGAAGGGAGCTGATGGGGCAGATGAGCATGGAAGCATCCCGGCACCATGGGATGGGTTGGGATGAAGGGAGCTGATGAGGGAGATGGGCATGGAAGCATCCTGGCACCATGGGATGGGTTGGGATGAAGGGAGCTGAAAGCTCATCCGGCTCCTGAGCAGGGATGGGGGAGATGGGCCTGGAAGCATCCCGGCACCATGGGATGGGTTGGGATGAAGGGAGCTGAAAGCCCATGGACGGGGGCAGCTCCCAGTGGCCCAGGCTGCTCCAAGCCCCATCCAGCGTGGAGCAGTGAAGGCCCCCGGGGCCGTGGGTGCCTCCTCTCCTCCCTGTCCCAGGGATGCTCCCGCCGGGCTCCCCGGGGTCACGCGCCTCTCCCCTGTATCCCGAAGGAATCTCTGCCAGATGCAGGAGGACAACAGCGGCTTCTCCCTGCTGCTGGACCTCCTCTCGGAGCTCTACCAGAAGCAGCCCAAGATCGGGTACCACCTCCTCTACTACCTGAAGGCCAGGTAGGGCCCGGGGGGGGGAGCAGCGCCGGGAGCCGCTGGGATTCCACTGGGATCGAGCTGCGCCCAGGGCACGGCGCAGGGATGCAGCCGGTGCCGCTCACCCACCCTGCTCCTTCTCCCTCCTCCTCTTCCTCCTCTTCCTCCTCATCCCCCTTCCTCCTTTCTCCTTCCTCCTCTTCCTCCTCTTCCCCCTTCCTCCTCTTCCCCTTTCCTTCTCTTGCTCCTCTTCCCCCTTCTTCCTCCTTCCTCTCCCTCCTCTCCCTCCTCCTCCCCTTCCTCCTTCCCCTCTTCCCCCTTCCTCTTCCCCCTTCCTCTTCCTCCTTCCTCCTCTTCCTCTTTTCCTCCTCTTCCTCCTCTTCCCCCTTCTTCCTCCTCTCCCTCCTCTTCCTCCTCCTCCCCTTCCTCCTCCTCCCTCTTCCCTCTTCCTCCTCTTCTTCCTCTTCCTCCTTCCCCTCTTTCTCCTTCCTCCTCTCCCTCCTCTCCCTCCTCTTCCTCCTCTTCCCCCTTCTTCCTCCTCCTTCCTCCTCTCCCTCATTTCCCTCCTCCTCCTCCTCTTCCTCTTCCTCCTTCCCCCTCTTCCCCCTTCCTCTTCCCCCTTCTTCCTCCTTCTCCCTACTCCTCTTCCCCCTTCCTCTTTCTCCTTCCTCCTCTTCCCCTTTCCTTTTCTTGCTCCTCTTCCCCCTTCTTCCTCCTTCCTCTCCCTCCTCTCTCTCCTCCTCCTCCTCTTCCTCCTTCCCCCTCTTCCCCCTTCCTCTTCCCCCTTCTTCCTCCTTCTCCCTACTCCTCTTCCCCCTTCCTCTTCCTCCCTCCTCTTCCCTCTCCCTCCTCTTCCCCCTCTCCCTCCTCCTCCTCCTCCCCTTCCTCCCCACCACCCCCCCCTGCAGCAAAGCAGCCGCGGGCAAGATGAGTCTCTACGAGTGCTTTGCGCAGGCCACGCAGCTGGGGGACCTGCACACCTGCCTCATGATGGACATGAAGGCCTGCCAGGAGGACGACGTGCGCCTGCTCTGCTACCTCACCCCCTCCATCTACACCGAGGTCCGGCAGGCGCAGCGCAGGCATCCTGCAGCCCCGGGCCCGGGGTGGGGTGGGATGGGGATGGGGATGGGATGGGATGGGGATGGGGATGGGGATGGGATGGAGATGGGATGGGATGGGGATGGGATGGGGATGGGATGGGATGGGGATGGGATGGGGATGGGGATGGGATGGGGATGGGGATGGGATGGGATGGGATGGGGATGGGATGGGATGGGATGGGATGGGATGGGATGGGATGGGGATGGGATGGGGATGGGATGGGATGGGGATGGGATGGGGATGGGATGGGATGGGATGGGGATGGGATGGGATGGGATGGGGATGGGATGGGATGGGATGGGGATGGGATGGGATGGGATGGGGATGGGATGGGGATGGGATGGGATGGGGATGGGATGGGGATGGGGATGGGATGGAGATGGGGATGGGGAGGGGATGGGATGGGGATGGGATGGGGATGGGGATGGGATGGGATGGGATGGGATGGGGATGGGGATGGGATGGGATGGGATGGGATGGGGATGGGATGGGATGGGGATGGGGATGGGATGGGGATGGGATGGGGAGGGGATGGGGATGGGATGGGGATGGGATGGGATGGGGATGGGGATGGGATGGGATGGAGATGGGATGGGATGGGGAGGGGATGGGATGGGGATGGGGTGGGGATGGGGATGGGGATGGGGATGGGGATGGGGATGGGGATGGGATGGGGATGGGGATGGGGATGGGGATGGGATGGGGATGGGATGGGGATGGGGATGGGGATGGGATGGGGTGGGGATGGGTTGGGGATGGGGATGGGGATGGGGTGGGATGGGATGGGGATGGGGATTGGGATGGGGATGGGGATGGGATGGGGATGGGGATGGGGATGGGGATGGGGATGGGGATGGCTCCCATCCCTGCCTCTTGGTCACAGCCTTTCCCTTGAGGTGCTGCTTGCTTCCAGGCAGCAGCCAGGGCTGGAGGGAGGGGAACCTCCCCTCCAGATGCATGGAGAGGCCCCAGCTCTGCCCCTGCATCCTCGTTCCCTGCTCCAGCAGGGGCATCCCCAGGCACTGGGGCTCTGCAGCCCCATTCCATAGGCAATTCCCATGGGGAAAAGGGGCTTGGGAACACCATGGAGAGGGCAGAGAACCCTTTGTGTCCCCCCCAGGCCATGCTCCGGGGGGGAATCCCGCAGTGCACAAGGAGCAGGGATAGGGAAAGCGGTGGCATTCCAAGCACTCGGAATTCCACCCCCTCCACCCCGCTCAGCTCTGCGGGGTCCCAATGGGCTCAGCTCCCTCGGCTCCTCTTCCCATTCCAGCTTCCCTTGGTGATGGATGCTGGTTCTGCCCCATCCCTGCGGCACGAGGATGCAGGGAGCATCACACGCTGCCCTCGGCGATGGGCTCCGGGGGGGCTCTTCCCTGGCCTCTTCCTTGTGTCCCTTCCCAAATCCAGCTTTCCTTTGCCTCCCGTAGTTCCCGGATGAGACCCTCCGGAGCGGGGAGCTGCTCAACATGATCGTGGCCGTCATCGACTCCTTCCAGGTCCGTGCTTGTCCCTTCCATTCCCAAGAGCTGGAAGCGTGGAATCACCCATCCATAGGGATGCGCCCGTGCTCCTTTCCTCCTCCTCCTCCTCCTGCCCCTTCTTGAGCGAGGCCAAGCTGATCCCTGCACCTCATTCCCATAGGGATTGGCTCCTCAAGCTGATCCCTGCACCTCATTCCCATAGGGATTGGCTCCTCAAGCCGATCCCTGCACCTCATTCCCATAGGGATTGGCTCCTCAAGCTGATCCTTGCACCTCATTCCCATAGGGATTGGCTCCTCAAGCCGATCCCTGCACCTCATTCCCATAGGGATTGGCACCTCAAGCCAAACTCTGCACCTCATTCCCATAGGGATTGGCTCCTCAAGCTGATCCCTGCACCTCATTCCCATAGGGATTGGCTCCTCAAACTGATCCCTGCACCTCATTCCCATAGGGATTGGCTCCTCAAACCGATCCCTGCACCTCATTCCCATAGGGATTGGCTCCTCAAGCCAATCTCTGCACCTCATTCCCATAGGGATTGGCTCCTCAAGCCCATCTCTGCACCTCATTCCCATAGGGATTGGCTCCTCAAACTGATCCCTGCACCTCATTCCCATAGGGATTGGCTCCTCAAGCTGATCCCTGCACCTCATTCCCATAGGGATTGGCTCCTCAAGGCGATCCCTGCACCTCATTCCCATAGGGATTGGCTCCTCAAACTGATCCCTGCACCTCATTCCCATAGGGATTGGCTCCTCAAGCTGATCCCTGCACCTCATTCCCATAGGGATTGGCTCCTCAAACCGATCCCTGCACCTCATTCCCATAGGGATTGGCTCCTCAAGGCGATCCCTGCACCTCATTCCCATAGGGATTGGCTCCTCAAGCTGATCCCTGCACCTCATTCCCATAGGGATTGGCTCCTCAAACTGATCCCTGCACCTCATTCCCATAGGGATTGGCTCCTCAAGCCAATCCCTGCACCTCATTCCCATAGGGATTGGCTCCTCAAGCTGATCCCTGCACCTCATTCCCATAGGGATTGGCTCCTCAAGCCAATCCCTACACCTCATTCCCATAGGGAGGCTGAGCCCAAGCCGCTGCATCCCGGCATCATTCCAGGAGGGAATCGGTGGCTTTGCAGCCAATCCATCACCACCGGGCTCCCTCCTAGCCCCCCTGAGGCAGGTTTATGGGGGGCAGCAGCAGCAGCAAGCCCAGGCAGGAGGTGCTGAGCCCCGATGGGCGCAGGCAGGATGCAGGCAGCGCATTCCCATCTCCTGGTGGGATGCATTGCAGCCTCCCCCCTCTCCTTCCCTTTGGGAGATGGATCCCTATGGAATAGCTGAGCTGCCCGCAGCAAGCCAGGAATAGCAGGGCAGGAATGCTCCGCCGTCTGCTGATGTGCTGATAACCCTTGAACCGCCCTCATTTCTCCATCATTCCTGGGCTGTTCCTGCTATTCCCGGCCTGGAACGCCGCTCCTTGGAGCCAGAGCTGGGTACAGGAAGGGTTGGAGCCCTGATGCCCTGACCCCCCCCACTTCATGCCCAGCCCCTCACTTCCCTCCCTCCCTCCCTCCCCTGCTCCAGGATTTGTTATTCCCACCAGAGCTCCATGGGTTTCCTCTCCCCTCCTTCCTTCCTTCCTGTTATTCTTCCTGGCTCCTTGGCCCTTGTGCCCAGCGCTATGGGGCAGAGCTATGGGGCAGAGCCATGGGGCTCTATGAGCTTCCAGCACCCTGTGCTCTGAGCGAGGCTGAGGAGCAGGGAGGGATGGAGCTGGGAGCCCAAGGTGGGGGGGGCACAAGCAGGGAATGGCGCTCCCCTCCCTGCATTCCATGGGATGCAGGGATGCAGGGGTGGGTCAGTGCCGTCTCCATCACCCCTCTGGCAGGTTCAAGCCCTTCCCCTTGGCCCCATCACTAGGATGATGTGGATGCATCAATGGAGCCGCAGCTCTCCAGCCTTATCCCATGGGAAGGTTTCCCCCCCCACCCCAATCCCTGTTTGTCTCCGTTTCCCAGTTGCAGGAGCTGGTTTGCCACGTGATGATGGGCAACCTGGTCATGTTCCGCAAGGATTCCGTGCTCAACATCCTCAGTGAGTAGCTCTGGAGCATCCCATGCTGCAGAGAGACCCCCCTACACCCCCCCCAACCCCACATCCACCCTTTCTATCCCTATCCCTATCCAACCATACCGGTGCAGCCTCTTCCCCAATGCATTGGGATGGGATGGGATGGGAGAGGTTGGGACCCTTTGGTTCCTGTTGGATGCCACCCCCCCCCTCACCCTGCTTGATGTGGCCCTTGGACCGTTCCTCTTAAGCCCCTCGGATGGAGCCCACTGCACCTGGTACCTGCAATCACTGCCCCCCCCCCCCCCAGCATCCCCACTCTTGAGCAGGATTTGGCCTCCCCCTCGCACCCATCACGGGGTGGAAAAGCCCCCCCAAGCCCAAAGCCCCCCCATTCCCTTCTCCATGCTGGTCCTGATGGGTGCCCTCATTGTGCTGTGCCCCCCCCCACCCTCTCCCTATAGTTCAGAGCCTGGACTGGGAGACCTTTGAGCAGTACTGCACGTGGCAGCTCTTCCTGGCGCACAGCATCCCCCTGGAGACCATCATCCCCATCCTGCAGCACCTCAAGTACAAAGGTGAGCTGAGCCCCTGCGTGCAGGATGGGACCACCAGGAGCTCGTCACCGAGCATCTCCTCTCGTTGCAGACCACCCCGAGGCCTTGTCCTGCCTGTTGCTGCAGCTGAGGAGGGAGAAGTAAGTGCTGTGCGATGCTTGGGGGGTGTGTGTGTGTGTGGAGGCTTGGGCAGCATCACTGGGGCAGGGCCATGGGGATGCCCCCCCTACCCCCCCCAAGCTTGAATCCTTTAGGATTCAGGTTGGAAAACCCCTCCTCTTGCTGCTCCCCCCATTGCTCTGGGTGCAAGTCCTGTCCTGGCTCCCATTCCCTACCATAGGGCAGCATCCCCTGCCTCCTGGAGGGCATGGAGCTGGCTTCCCCTCCCTGCGGGGCTGGATTGGTCGCATCCTGCACTGCAGAGCATCATTCAGCTCAGCTCAGCTCATCCCAGCTCCAAGCAGCCTTAGTGGAAAAGCTTGGGATGGGGGTGCTGGGATAAGGGATGGAATGGGGATGACTGGGCAGGGAGCTCCGCATCCTCCCTCCCTCCCTCCTCCGGTCCCCACAGGCCCAGCGAGGAGATGGTGAAGATGGTGCTGAGCCGGCCCTGCCACCCCGACGACCAGTTCACCACGAGCATCCTGCGGCACTGGTGCATCAAACACGACGACCTCCTGGCCGAGCACATCAAATCCCTGCTCATCAAGAACAACAGCCTGCCCCGGAAGAGGCAGAGGTGTGGGGCTGGGGCGGGCACCCTCTGACACCCCCCTGTCCCCTTTGTGTCCCCTTTGTGTGTCCCATTGGGATCCCAGGAACCAAGCAGGTCCCAGTGCTGACCCCCCTCTTGGTACCTGTTGAGCATCTTGCTCTTGGTAGCCAGAGCATCTCCTGGTGCCCAGAGCATCTCCTGGTGCCCAGAGCATCTCCTGGTACTCAGAGCATCTTTTGGTACCCAGAGCATCTCCTGGTACCCAGAGCATCTCCTGGTACCCAGAGCATCTTCTGGTACCCAGAACATCTGGTACCCAGAGCATCTCCTGGTATCCAGAGCATCTCCTGGTGCCCAGAGCATCTCCTGGTACCCAGAGCATCTCCTAGTGCCCAGAGCATCTCCTGGTGCCCAGAGCATCTCCTGGTACCCAGAGCATCTTCTGGTACCCAGAACATCTGGTACCCAGAGCATCTCCTGGTATCCAGAGCATCTCCTGGTACCCAGAGCATCTCCTGGTATCCAGAGCATCTCCTGGTGCCCAGAGCATCTTCTGGTACCCAGAACATCTGGTACCCAGAGCATCTCCTGGTACCCAGAGCATCTCCTGGTGTCCAGAGCATCTCCTGGTGCCCAGAGCATCTCCTGGTACCCAGAGCATCTCCTGGTGTCCAGAGCATCTCCTGGTGCCCAGAGCATCTCCTGGTACCCAGAGCATCTTCTGGTACCCAGAACATCTGGTACCCAGAGCATCTCCTGGTACCCAGAGCATCTCCTGGTGTCCAGAGCATCTCCTGGTACCCAGAGCATCTCCTGGTGCCCAGAGCATCTTCTGGTAGCCAGAGCATCTCCTGGTGCCCAGAGCATCTTTTGATACCCAGAGCATCTCCTAGTGCCCAGAGCATCTCCTGGTGCCCAGAGCATATTCTGGTAGCCAGAGCATCTCCTGGTGTCCAGAGCTTCTCCTGGTACCCAGAGCATCTCCTGGTATCCAGAGCATCTCCTGGTGCCCAGAGCATCTCCTGGTGCCCAGAGCATCTTTTGATACCCAGAGCATCTCCTAGTGCCCAGAGCATCTCCTGGTGCCCAGAGCATCTTCTGGTAGCCAGAGCATCTCCTGGTACCCAGAGCATCTCCTAGTGCCCAGAGCATCTCCGGGTACCCAGAGCATCTCCTAGTGCCCAGAGCATCTTTTGGTACTCAGAGCATCTTTTGGTACCCAGAGCATCTCCTGGTACCCAGAGCATCTTCTGGTACCCAGAACATCTGGTACCCAGAGCATCTCCTGGTACCCAGAGCATCTCCTAGTACCCAGAGCATCTCCTAGTGCCCAGAGCATCTCCTGGTACCCAGAGCATCTCCTGGTGTCCAGAGCATCTTCTGGTACCCAGGACATCTGGTACCCAGAGCATCTCCTGGTGCCCAGAGCATCTCCTGGTACCCAGAGCATCTCCTAGTACCCAGAGCATCTCCTAGTGCCCAGAGCATCTCCTGGTACCCAGAGCATCTCCTGGTGTCCAGAGCATCTTCTGGTACCCAGGACATCTGGTACCCAGAGCATCTCCTGGTGCCCAGAGCATCTCCTGGTACCCAGAGCATCTACTGGTACCCAGAGCATGTTCTGGTACCCAGAACATCTGGTACCCAGAGCATCTCCTAGTGCCCAGAGCATCTTTTGGTACTCAGAGCATCTTTTGGTACCCAGAGCATCTCCTGGTGCCCAGAGCGTCTCCTGGTGCCCAGAGCATCTCCTAGTGCAGTCAGTTGCTTCCCGAGACCCGCACGAGAGCTGGAAGAGGGGTTTTGGCTAAGGGAAGCAGGGCCATGATAATGGGAATGGTTTGACCCTGCCATAGAGAAGATGGGATTGAGATGGGCAGAGCTGGAGGAGGTGCCCGGCTCTCAGAGGGAAACGGGAGCTGCTTCCCGGCTGCATCCCTGCAGCCCTTGGGATGGAGGAGGAAGGACATCTAGTGTCCTGGGAGAGCAGAGCACCCATCCAGCACCCATGCACCCAGCCCCCCTATGGCACAGAGCTGGCACCTCTGGGTGCCCCCAAAGGATCCAGGTCCAATTCCCACTCAGGTGGGGTCCCTCCTGTGGGCAGCACCCCAGGTTCTGTGTCCGAGGCGCTTGGTTGGGATGGAGCCAAGCAGGATGTATCCCCTTATCCCTTGTGCCCCCCCCCACTTTGGGTGCTGTGCCCTGATGGGTGCCGTGCTCTGATGGGTACTGCTCCCTGATGGGTGCTGTGCCCCGATGGGTGCTGTGCCCCGATGGGTGCCGTGCCCCGATGGGTACTGCTCCCTGATGGGTGCTGTGCCCTGATGGGTGCTGCTCCCTGATGGGTGCTGTGCCCTGATGGGTGCTGTGCCCCGATGGGTGCTGCTCCCTGATGGGTGCTGCTCCCTGATGGGTGCCGCTCCCTAATGGGTGCCGCTCTGTGCCCTGATGGGTGCTGTGCCCCGATGGGTGCTGTGCCCGATGGGTGCTGCTCCCTGATGGGTGCTGCTCCCTGCCCTCAGCCTGCGCAGCTCCAGCAGCAAGCTGGCCCAGCTCACCCTGGAGCAGATCCTGGAGCACCTGGATAACCTGCGCCTCAACCTCACCAACACCAAACAGAACTGTACGGACCCATCCCCATCCCATCCCCATCCCATCCCCGTCCCATCCCCATCCCCATCCCCATCCCCATCCCATCCCATCCCATCCCATCCCCATCCCATCCCATCCCCATCCCCATCCCATCCCCATCCCCTCCCCATCCCATCCCATCCCCATCCCCATCCCCATCCCATCCCCATCCCATCCCCATCCCCATCCCATCCCATCCCCATCCCCATCCCCATCCCCATCCCATCCCCATCCCATCCCATCCCCATCCCCATCCCATCCCCATCCCCATCCCATCCCCATCCCATCCCCATCCCCATCCCACCCCATCCCCATCCCATCCCCATCCCCATCCCCATCCCATCCCCATCCCCATCCCCATCCCATCCCCATCCCCCTCATGGGGTGGGGGGGGGGGGGAGAGGACACGGATCCCATCCCTCATTCCCATTTTCCTCCTCTTTCCCAGTTTTCAGCCAAACCCCGATCCTGCAGGCGCTGCAGCACGTCCAGGCCAGCTGCGACGAAGCCCATAAGATGAAGTGAGTCCCTTCCTTCCTCCTCCATCCTGCCCCATCCCCATCCCCATCCCACCCCATCCCCATCCCCTTCCCATCCCATCCCCATCCCTCCCCACCCCATTCCCATTCCCATCACGCCCTATCCCCATCCCCATCCCATCCCCATCCCCATCCCCTTCCCATCCCATCCCCATCCCCTCCCCACCCCATTCCCATTCCCATCACGCCCTATCCCCATCCCCACCCCATCCCCATCCCCATCCCCACCCCATCCCATCCCCACCCCATCCCCATCCCACACCATCCCCATCCCCTTCCCATCCCATCCCCATCCCTCCCCACCCCATTCCCATCCCCATCCCGCCCTATCCCCATCCCATCCCCATCCCATCCCCACCCCGCCCCATTCCCTTCCCTGCCCCCCAGGTTCAGCGACCTCTTCTCCCTGGCTGAGGAATACGAGGACTCCTCGAGCAAGCCCCCCAAGAGCCGCCGCAAGGCCCCCATCGCCAGCCCCCGCAGCCGCAAGAGCACGGCGCAGCCCCCCAACCCCGAGGAGGAGTCGGCCTCCAGCAGCGCCTCGGTGAGCACCCCCCGTTGACACCCATAGGGACCTATAGGGGTGCCCCCCATTGACCCCCATAGGGACCTGCAGGGGTGCCCTCCATTGACATCCATAGGGGTGCCCCCCATTGACACCTATAGGGGTGCCCCCCATTGACACCCATAGGGACCTATAGGGGTGCCCCCCATTGACACCCATAGGGACCTATAGGGGTGCCCCCCCATTGACACCCATAAGGACCTATAGGGGTGCCCCCCCATTGACACCCATAGGGACCTGCAGGGGTGCCCCCCCGTTGACACCCATAGGGACCTATAGGGGTGCCCCCCGTTGACACCCATAGGGACCTATAGGGGTGCCCCCCCATTGACACCCATAGGGACCTATAGGGGTGCCCCCCATTGACACCTATAGGGGTGCCCTCCATTGACACCCATAGGGACCTATAGGGGTGCCCCCCCATTGACACCTATAGGGGTGCCCCCCCATTGACACCCATAAGGACCTATAGGGGTGCCCCCCATTGACACCCATAGGGACCTATAGGGGTGCCCCCCATTGACACCCATAGGGACCTATAGGACTGCTCCCCACCTATAGGGATCCATAGGGCTGCCCCCCCCGTTGCCCCCTATATAGGGACCTATAGGGGTGCCCCCACCCATTGCCTCCTATATAAGAATCCATAGGAGTTCTCCCCCCAATTGCCCACTATATAGGGACCTATAGGGCTGCCCCCCACCTATAGTGACCTATAGGGCTGCCCCCCACCTATAGTGACCCATAGGGCTGCCCCCCACCTATAGGGACCCACAGAGCTGCCCCCCACCTATAGTGACCCATAGGGCTGCCCCCCACCTATAGTGACCCATCGGGCTGCCCCCCCATAGGGGGCTGCCCCCCACCTATAGTGACCCGTAGGGCTGCCCCCCACCTATAGGGACCCATAGAGCTGCCCCCCACCTATAGTGACCCATAGGGCTGCCCCCCACCTATAGTGACCCATAGGGCTGCCCCCCACCTATAGGGACCCATAGGGCTACCCCCCACCTGTAGTGACCCATAGGGCTTCCCCCCACCTATAGTGACCCATAGGGCTGCCCCCCACCTGTAGTGACCCATAGGGCTACCCCCCACCTATAGTGACCCATAGGGCTGCCCCCCACCTATAGTGACCCATAGGGCTGCCCCCCACCTATAGGGACCCATAGGGCTGCCCCCCACCTATAGTGACCCATAGGGCGGCCCACTGCCCCCCACCTATAGGGACCCATAGGGCTGCCCCCCACCTATAGTGACCCATAGGGCTGCCCCCCACCTATAGTGACCCATAAGGCCGCCCCCCACCTATAGTGACCCATAAGGCTGCCCCCCACCTATAGTGACCCATAAGGCTGCCCCCCACCTATAGTGACCCATAGGGCTGCCCCCCACCTATAGTGACCCATAAGGCTGCCCCCCACCTATAGTGACCCATAAGGCTGCCCCCCACCTATAGTGACCCATACGGCTGCCCCCCACCTATAGGGACCCATAGGGCTGCCCCCCACCTATAGTGACCCATAGGGCTGCCCCCCACCTATAGGGACCCATAAGGCTGCCCCCCACCTATAGTGACCCATAGGGCTGCCCCCCACCTATAGTGACCCATAAGGCTACCCCCCACCTATAGTGACCCATAGGGCTGCCCCCCATTGCCCATCGCCCCTCTCTGCCGCAGGAGGAGGAAGACACCAAACCCAAACCCACCAAGAGGAAGCGCAAGGGCTCCTCGGCCGTGGGCTCCGACAGCGACTGATGCTTGTGGGGCAGAGCCAGGAGGATGCTCCCTATGGGGCAGGGGGGGGGGACACGGGACGGGACCCCCCCTTCCCCTGCAACCCCCCCTTTATAACAGCAAAAAGGGGGTTGGGCCTTCCCACCCCCCTCAATGGGGATGGGGACCCCCCTTCCTCCCCCCCCCGCAATGGGGATGGGGACCCCCCCCCCCATGGGGTTTTGGGGTGCGGGGGGGGGGGGGCATCATGCACCCTCTTTCATAGGCATGATGGAAATAAAGAGTGCAAGTGAGTCCTGCTGCAGGGGGCTGGGGGGGGGGGTCATGGCCTGACCCATAGCACCCCACTGATCCTGCCCCACACACCCCACAGAGGGCTGGGGGGGGGGGGGGTGTCATGGCCTGACCCATAGCACCCCACTGATCCTGCCCCACACACCCCACAGAGGGCTGGGGGTGGGGAGGGGGTCATGGCCTGACCCATAGCACCCCACTGATCCTGCCCCACACACCCCACAAAGGGCTGGGGGGGGGGGGGGGCTGTTCCATGTCGTGTCCCACCCCCCCCCCCCAAAGAGTTAATGGAGTTTTTAAGTGTTTTTAAAGGAACCAGCAATAAAAGCCCTCTCCTGTTTTGTACAGCGGCCCCCCCTTGATGCTGTGCACCCCCATTATGGTGCTGTGACCCCCCCTTGATGCTGTGCACCCCCATTATGGTGCTGTGACCCCCCCTTGATGCTGTGCACCCCCTTTATGGTGCTGTGATCCCCCCTTTATGGTGCTGTGACCCCCCCTTGATGCTGTGCACCCCCTTTATGGTGCTGTGACCCCCCCTTGATGCTGTGCACCCCCATTATGGTGCTGTGCACCCGCTTTATGGTGCTGTGACCCCCTCTTGATGCTGTGCACCCCCCCTTGATGCTGTGCACCCCCTTTATGGTGCTGTGATCCCCCCTTTATGGTGCTGTGCACCCCCTTGATGCTGTGCACCCCCTTTATGGTGCTGTGACCCCCATTTATGGTGCTGTGCACCTCCTTTATGGTGCTGTGATCCCCTCTTTATGGTGCTGTGCACCCCCTTTATGATGCTGTGACCCCCCCTTGATGCTGTGCACCCCCATTATGGTGCTGTGATCCCCCCTTTATGGTGCTGTGCACCCCCTTGATGCTGTGCACCCCCTTTTATGGTGCTGTGCCCCCCATTTATGGTGCTGTGCACCCCCTTTATGGTGCTGTGCACCCCCATTTATGGTGCTGTGATCCCCCCCTTGATGCTGTGCACCCCCTTTATGGTGCTGTGCACCCCCTTGATGCTGTGCCCCCCCTTTATGGTGCTGTGCCCCCCATGTGGGGTGGGGGCTCCATGGGGGGGCTCAATGGGGATTGGGGATGGAGGAGACTCAATGGGGAGGGGGGACAGGATTGGGGTCACCCGGGGGGGGGGGGCCATGGGGCAGGAATGGGGGCCCCGGCATCAATGGGGGCTGCTGGGGACGTGAATGGGAGGGGGGTGTCCAATGGGAGTGCCCCTGTAGGGCGTGTCCATTGCGGGGCTGTTCCACGGCTCCAGCCAATGGGCGGTGAGCCGCGGCCGCGCTGCCCAATGAGCGTTCGGGACAGGGGGGCGGGGTCTAAACGAAACGGGCGTGGCGCTGTGTGGGGGGTTGTCCCACGGCTCCAGCCAATGGGCAGTGAGCCGCGGCCGCGCTGCCCAATGAGCGCTCGGTGCATGGAGGCGGGGTCTAAACGAAACGGGGCGTGGCGCTGCGTGCAGCGGTGCGTGCGTGTGTGTAGGGGGGGGGGGTGGGCGTATCCCCGGAGCCCTGCAGCCAATGGGCGCTCTCGGTGTGCTGGCGGCGTCCAATGAGCGCCGAATCTCCGGCGGTGACGTCGGGGCTCCATTGCGCGGGGCGATGTGGGCGCTGCTGGCGGCGCTGGCGCTGCTGCTGCCGGGGCTGCTGCTGCTGCGGCCGCTGCTGCGCGCGGACCTCGCCTTCGCTGCGCGCGCCCTGCGCGCTCGGGGCCGGTTTGGCGGGAGAGGGAGCGCGCGCGCGCGCAGCCTCCCCGCGCGCTTCCTGCGCGCGGCCGAGGCGGGTCCCGCGCGCCCGTTCCTGCGCGCGGCCGGCGGGACCCTGAGCTACGGGCGCGGGGCGCGCTCCGTGGCGCGCGTCGCCAACGCCTTGCGCGGGCTCCGGCTCGGTCCCGCGCGCGGGGGCGCGCTCGGGCCGGGCGTGGCCGTGGGGCTGCTGGCGGGGAACGAGCCCCGCTTCGTGTGGGGGTGGCTGGGGCTGGCGGCGCTCGGGGCGCGCCCCGCGTTCCTCGGGAGCGCGCTGCGCCCCGCGGCGCTGAGGAACTGCCTGAGAGAGTGCGGGGCAAGGGCGCTGCTGGTGGCGGATGGTGAGGGGGGGGGGATGGGGATGGGGATGGGATGGGAGATGGGATGAGGATAGGGAAGGGAAGGGGATGGTATGGGGATGGGTATGGGATGGAAATGGGGATGGGATGGGGAGGGAATGGGAATGGGGAGGGGATGGGAATGGGGATAGGGATGGGATGAGGATAGGGAAGGGGATGGGATGGGGAGGGGATGGGATGGGGATGGGGATGGGATGAGATGAGATGAGATGGGGATGGGATGGAAATGGGGAGGGAATGGGAATGGGGAGGGGATGGAATGGGATGGGGATAGGGAAGGGGATGGGAATGGGGAGGGGATGGAAATGGGGATGGGATGGGGAGGGAATGGGATGCGGATGGGGAGGGGATGGGGATAGGGAGGGGATGGGGATAGGGATTGGATGGGGATGGGGATGGGATGGGATGGGATGAGATGAGATGAGATGATATGGGGATGGGATGGAAATGGGGAGGGGATGGGATGGGGATGGGAAGGGAATGGGAATAGGATGGGAATGGGGATGGAGATGGGGATAGGGATGGGATGGGATGGGGATGGGATGAGATGAAATGGGATGGAAATGGGGATGGGGTGGGGAGGGGATGGGAATGGGGAGGGGATGGGGATAGGGAAGGGGATGGGATGCGGATGGGGAGGGGGTGTGGATGGGATGGGGATGAGGAAGGGCATGGGATCTGGTTGGGGATAGGGATGGGATGAGGATAGGGAAGGGGATGGGGATAAGGCTGGGGTTGGGGATGGGGACGGGTTGGGAGGAACTAGAAAGGTGCAGACCCTATGGGGTCTGGAGTGGGCAAAGGCTGCAGGGGATGGGAGGCTCAGGCATGGCTCCAGGGTGATGCTTTTGGGACCGTGGCAGTCCCGGGCTCATGGGACCAGAGAGGAGGCATCGAGCAGGGAAGAGGCTCCGGAGGGGCCTGGGGCTTGGTCCTCTCATTGAGCCCCCAGCCTGGCCCCATCCCCATGGATCCCAGTGGTCATCCCTGGCCATTTCCCCCCCCCTGTGGGGTAGGGATGGGGCAGCCCCGTCTGGGGTATCCCTATCGCTGGTCCCATCCTCTCCTATGTCCCCCCCAGACCTATTTGCGTCCGTGGAGCCCATCCTGCCCGCGCTGCAGCAGGAGGATGACATCGTGGTGTGGGTGCTGGGCTCGGGGCCGTACCCCCCCGGCGTCGTGGCCCTGCAGGAGCGCCTGGATGCGGCCTCGGAGGAGCTGGAGCCCGAGGACGTTTGGCAGCCGGAGGACATGAACGAGACCTGCCTGTACATCTTCACGTCCGGCACGACCGGTGCGCGGCGGGGAGCGCGGGACGGGGCTCTGGGGTGACGGTGGGGCTGGGGGGTGATGGTGGTGGTGATGGGTCTGTGATGGTGATGGTGGTGGTGATGGTGGGTCTGGGGTGGCGATGGTGATGGTGATCGTCATGGGTCTGTGATGGTGATGGGTCTGTGACGGTGCTGGGTCTGTGATGGTGATGGGTCTGTGATGGTGATGGTAATGGGTCTGTGATGGGTCTGTGATGGTGATGGTGGGTCTGGGATGGTGGTGGGTCTGTGATGGTGATGGTAATGGGTCTGTGATGGGTCTGGGATGGTGATGGGTCTGGGATGGTGATGGTGGTGGTGATGGTGGTGGTGATGGTGATGGTGATGGGTCTGTGATGGTGATGGTGATGGGTCTGTGATGGTGCTGGGTCTATGATGGTGATGGTGATGGTGGGTCTGGAGTGGTGATGATGGGTCTGGGGTGGTGATGGTGGTGGGTCTGTGATGGTGATGGGTCTGTGATGGTGATGGTGGGTCTGGGGTGGTGATGGTGATGGGTCTGTGATGGTGATGGTGATGGGTCTGTGATGGTGATGGTGGTGGGTCTGTGATGGTGATGGTGGTGGGTCTGTGATGGTGCTGGGTCTATGATGGTGATGGTGATGGTGGGTCTGTGATGGTGATGGTGGTAGGTCTGTGATGGTGATGGGTCTGGGGTGGTGATGGTGATGGGTCTGTGATGGTGATGGTGATGGGTCTGTGATGGTGATGGTGGTGGGTCTGTGATGGTGATGGGTCTGTGATGGTGATGGTGGTGGGTCTGTGATGGTGATGGGTCTGTGATGGTGATGGGTCTGTGATGGTGATGGTAATGGGTCTGGGATGGGTCTGGGATGGTGATGGTGGGTCTGTGATGGTGATGGGTCTGTGATGGTGATGGTAATGGGTCTGGGATGGGTCTGGGATGGTGATGGGTCTGGGATGGTGATGGTGGTAGGTCTGGGATGGTGATGGGTCTGGGGTGGTGATGGTGATGGGTCTGTGATGGTGATGATGGCTCTATGATGGTGATGATGTTGGGTCTGTGATGATGTTGGCTCTATGATGGTGACGTTGGCTCTATGATGGTGATGTTGGCTCTATGATGGTGCTGATGCTGATGCTGGTGCCGGGTCTCCAATGACGCTGGTGCCTGCTCTCCAATGGTGCTGGGGGTTGCTCTGCTGATGCCAGGACCCCCCCCCCCGTTCCCCCCCCTTCTTCTTTCCAGGTCTCCCCAAGGCCGCCCGCGTCTCCCACCTCAAGTCCCTGCTGTGCCTGAGCTTCTACGAGCTGGTGGGCGCCTGCAGCCGCGACGTCGTGTACCTGGCGCTGCCCCTGCACCACATGGCCGGCTCCCTGCTGGGCATCGCCGGCTGCATCGGCATCGGTGAGCCAGGATGGGGCCCGGCTCCGTGGGGAGGGCACCGCGGTGCTGGGGACGGGGGGGGTGAGCCCCTGATTGCCCCCATTCACCCCATAGGGGCCACGTGCGTGCTGAAGGAGAAGTTCTCGGCCTCCCAGTTCTGGGACGAGTGCAGGGCCGAGGGGGTCACCGTGTTCCAGTACATCGGGGAGCTCTGCCGCTACCTGCTCAACCAGCCCCAGGTGGGGGGCAGGTTCTGTCTGGGGGTCAGGTTGTGTCTATGGGGATGCTGTGGGTCAGGTTGTGTCTGTGGGGATGCTGTGGGTCAGGCTCTGTCTATGGGGATGCTGTGGGTGAGGTTGTGTCTCTGGGGATGCTGTGGGTCAGGCTCTGTCTATAGGGATGCTGTGGGTCAGGTTGTGTGTATGGGGATGCTGTGGGACAGGCTGTGTCTCTGGGGATGCTGTGGGTCAGGTTGTGTCTATGGGGATGCTGTGGGTCAGGTTCTGTCTATGGGGATGCTGTGGGTCAGGTTCTGTCTATGGGGATGCTGTGGGTCAGGTTCTGTCTGTGGGTCAGGCTGTGTCTATGGGGATGCTGTGGGTCAGGTTGTGTCTATGGGGATGCTGTGGGTCAGGTTCTGTCTATGGGGATGCTGTGGGTCAGGTTCTGTCTATGGGGATGCTGTGGGTCAGGTTCTGTCTCTATGGATGCTGTGGGTCAGGCTGTGTCTATGGGGATGCTGTGGGTCAGGTTGTGTCTATGGGGATGCTGTGGGTCAGGTTCTGTCTATGGGGATGCTGTGGGTCAGGTTCTGTCTATGGGGATGCTGTGGGTCAGGTTCTGTTTGTGGGTCAGGTTGTGTCTATGGGGATGCTGGGGGTCAGGTTATGTCTATGGGGATGCTGTGGGTCAGGCTGTGTCTATAGGGATGCTGTGGGTCAGGTTGTGTCTCTGGGGATGCTGTGGGTCAGGCTGTGTCTATGGGGATGCTGTGGGTCAGGTTCTGTCTCTATGGATGCTGTGGGTCAGGTTCTGTCTGTGGGTCAGGTTGTGTCTATGGGGATGCTGTGGGTCAGGTTGTGTCTATGGGGATGCTGTGGGTCAGGTTGTGTCTATGGGGATGCTGTGGGTCAGGTTGTGTCTATGGGGATGCTGTGGGTCAGGTTGTGTCTATGGGGATGCTGTGGGTCAGGCTGTGTCTGTGGGTCAGGCTGTGTCTATGGGGATGCTGTGGGTCAGGTTGTGTCTATGGGGATGCTGTGGGTCAGGTTGTGTCTATGGGGATGCTGTGGGTCAGGTTCTGTCTATGGGGATGCTGTGGGTCAGGCTCTGTCTATGGGGATGCTGTGGGTCAGGCTCTGTCTATGGGGATGCTGTGGGTCAGGTTCTGTCTATGGGGATGCTGTGGGTCAGGCTGTGTCTGTGGGTCAGGCTGTGTCTCTGGGGCCGAGGGGGTCACCGTGTTCCAGTACATCGGGGAGCTCTGCCGCTACCTGCTCAACCAGCCCCAGGTGGGGGGCAGGTTCTGTCTGGGGGGGGGTAATGGGGGTGCTGTGGGTCAGGTTCTGTCTGTGGGTCAGGCTCTGTCTATGGGGATGCTGTGGGTCAGGTTGTGTCTGTGGGTCAGGCTGTGTCTATGGGGATGCTGTGGGTCAGGTTCTGTCTGTGGGTCAGGCTCTGTCTCTGGGGCGCTGTGGGTCAGGTTCTGTCTCTGGGTCAGGCCGTGTCTGTGGGGCGCTGTGGGTCAGGCTCTGTCTGTGGGTCAGGTTCTGTTTCTGGGGCACTGTGGGTCAGGTTCTGTCTGTGGGTCAGGCTGTGTCTATGGGGCGCTGTGGGTCAGGTTCTGTCTGTGGGTCAGGCCGTGTCTGTGGGGCGCTGTGGGTCAGGTTGTGTCTGTGGGTCAGGCCGTGTCTGTGGGGCGCTGTGGGTCAGGCTCTGTCTGTGGGTCAGGCTCTGTCTGTGGGGCGCTGTGGGTCAGGCCGTGTCTGTGGGGCGCTGTGGGTCAGGTTGTGTCTGTGGGTCAGGCTGTGTCTGTGGGTCAGGCTCTGTCTGTGGGTCAGGCTGTGTCTGTGGGTCAGGCTCTGTCTGTGGGCCGCTGTGGGTCAGGCTGTGTCTGTGGGGCGCTGTGGGTCCGCCCTAACGCCCCCCCGTCCCCGTGCCCGCAGCGCCCCGGGGATCGGAGCCACGGCGTGCGCTTGGCCGTGGGGAGCGGGCTGAGCGCCGGCGTCTGGCGCCGCTTCCTGCAGCGCTTCGGGCCCATGCGCGTCGTGGAGACGTACGGGCAGAGCGAGGGCAACGTCTCCCTCTTCAACTACACCGGGACCCCCGGCGCCGTGGGGCGCGGAAGCTTCATCTACAAGGTGGGGGTCAGAGGGGGTCAGCGGGGGTGAATGGGAGTGAATGGGGTGGGGGTGAATGGGATGGGGTAAATGGGGTGGGGATGAATGGGGGTGAATGGGATGGGGGTGAATGGGATGGGGTGAATGGGATGGGGATAGAGGTGAATGGGATGAGGGTCAATGGGGTGGGGGTGAATGGATGTGAATGGGATGGGGGTGAACGGGGTGGGGATGAATGGGGGTGAAAGGGATGGGGGTGAATGGATGTGAATGGGAGTGAATGGGTGGGGGATGAATGGGGGTGAATGGGATGGGGGTGAATGGGATTGGGATGAGTGGGGGAGAATGGGATGGGGGTAAATGGGATGGGGGTGAATGGGGGAGAATGGGATGGGGGTGAATGGGATGGGGTGAATGGGATGGGGTAAATGGGGTGGGGATGAATGGGGGAGAATGGGATGGGGGTGAATGGGGTGGGGATGAATGGGGGTGAAAGGGATGGGGGTGAATGGGAGTGAATGGGATGGGGGTGAATGGGGTGGGGATGAATGGGGGAGAATGGGATGGGGGTGAATGGATGTGAATGGGATAGGGGTGAATGGGATGGGGGTGAATGGGGGGTCAATGGGATGGGGATAGAGGTGAATGGGATGGGGGTGAATGGGATGGGAGTGAATGGGATGGGGATAGAGGTGAATGGGATGGGGGTCAATGGGGTGGGGGTGAATGGATGTGAATGGGATGGGGGTGAAAGGGATGGGGGTGAATGGATGTGAATGGGAGTGCATGGGGTGGGGATGAATGGGGGAGAATGGGATGGGGGTGAATGGGAGTGAATGGGATGGGGATGGAGGTGAATGGGATGGGGGTGAACGGGGTGGGGGTGAATGGATGTGAATGGGATGGGGGTGAATGGGGTGGGGATGAATGGGGGTCAATGGGATGGGGGTGAATGGAATGGGGGTGAGTGAGGTGGGGGTGAATGGATGTGAATGGGATGGGGATGAATGGAGGTGAATGGGTTGGGGGTAATGGGATGGAGGTGAATGGGTTGGGGGTAATGGGATGGATGTGAATAGGATGGGGGTGAATGAGGTGAATGGAATGGATGTGAATGGGATGGGGGTCAATGGGGTGGGGATGAATGGGGGTCAATGGGATGGGGAGGAATGGGGGTCAATGGGGTGGGGATGAATGGGGGTCAATGGGATGGGGAGGAATGGGGGTCAATGGGATGGGGGTGAATGAGGTGGGGGTGAATGGATGTGAATGGGATGGGAGTGAATGGGATGGGGTGAATGGGGATCAATGAGATGGGGATGAATGGAGGTGAATTTTTGGGGGGTAATGGGATGGGGGTGAATGGGGTGGGGATGAATGGATGTGAATGGGATGGGAGTGAATGGGGTGGGGATGAATGGGGGTCAATGGGATGGGGATGAATGGAGGTGAATGGGTTGGGGGTAATGGGATGGGTGTGAATGGGGTGGGGATGAATGGGATGGGGGTCAATGGGATGGGGATGAATGGAGGTGAATGGGTTGGGGGTAATGGGATTGGGGTGAATGGGAGTGAATGGGATGGGGGTGAATGGGATGGAGATGAATGGGGGTGAATGGGATGGGGATGAATGGAGGTGAATGGGTTGGGGGTAATGGGATGGGTGTGAATGGGATGGGGATGAATGGAGATGAATGAGGTGGGGGTAATGGGATGGGGGTTAATGGGATGGGGGTTAATGGGGATGAATGGGATGGGGGTGAATGAGGGTCAATGGGATGGGAGTGAATGGCAAGTGATTGGGATGGGGATGGGGGTGAATGGGATGAGGTGAATGGAGGTGAATGGAATGGGGGTGAAAGGGATGGGGTTGAGTGGGTGTCAATGGGAGGTGGGCTTCATGGTGGTCAACGGGACGTGCAGTCCGTGGGGGTGTCTGTGCCCCACATTAACCTCTCCCCATTGCCCCCCCCCCCCCAAGCTGGTGTCTCCCTTCGAGATCGTGCGCTACGACGTGGCCACGGGAGCCCCGGTGCGCGACGCGTCCGGGCGCTGCATCCGCGTGGGGCCGGGTGAGTGCCGGCCATGGGGAGGAGGGGGGGGTGCAGGTGCAGATCCCATCGGGTGCCCCCCATTCACCCGCACCCATCGCCCGCAGGGGAGCCGGGGCTCCTGATCGCGCCCGTCACCCCCCGCACCCCGTTCCTGGGCTACGCGGGCGGGCGCGAGCTCTCGGAGCAGAAGCTCCTGCGCGGGGTCTTTGCCGAGGGCGATTCCTACTTCAGCACCGGGGACCTGATGGAGCAGGACGAGGAGCAGTTCGTGCGCTTCCGGGACCGCACCGGGGACACCTTCAGGTACCCCCCGGGGCCACGGTGGTGGTTTTGGAGGGGGGGGACACGGGGGAGGACCCCCTGCGGGACCTGCGCGTCGCCAGCGTCATCCCCATCCACATCGTCGTTGACATCATCTTCATCGTCGTCAGCATCCGTGCCCATCATCATCATCCCCATCATCATCATCATCCGTCCCCATTATCATCATCCCCATCATCATCATCATCCATCCCCATCATCCCCATCATCATCATCATCCATTCCCATCATCATCATCCATCCCCATCATCATCCACATCATCATCATCCATCCCCATTATCATCATCCACATCATCATCATCATCCATCCCCATCATCGCCATCATCATCATCATCCGTCCCCATCATCATCATCCACATCATCATCATCATCCGTCCCCATCATCATCATCCGTCCCCATCATCATCATCATCCGTCCCCAACATCATCATCCACATCATCATCATCATCCATCCCCATCATCCCCATCATCATCATCCGTCCCCATCATCATCATCCATCCCCATCATCATCATCCACATCATCATCCCCATCCCCATCATCGTCATCCCCATCATCATCATCCGTCCCCATCATCATCATCCATCCCCATCATTGTTATCCCCATCATCATCATCATCATCATCATCATCATCATTATCCCCATCCCCATCATCCCCATCCCCATCATCATCCACATCATCCCCATCCCCATCATCCCATCCCCATCATCATTCTCATTATCCCTGTCGTCATCAACATCTATCCCCATCATCATCATCCCCATCGTTCTCATCTCCGTCATCATCCCCATTATCCCCTTCATCATCATCATCATCCACATCATCCCCATCACCCCCGTTGTCATCATCATCTTCATCATCATCATCATCCATCCCCATCATCATCATCATCCGCATCATCCCCTTCATCCCCATCATCCCCATTGTCGTCATCGTCATCATCTTAATCATCATCATCATCCATCCCCATCCTCATCATGATCATCTTCATCGACATCATCCCCATCATCATCTTAATCATCATTCCCGTCATCCCTGTCATCCCCATCATTCCCATCCCCACCATCCCCACCATCCCCATCATTCCCATCCCCACCATCCCCACCATCCCCATCATTCCCATCCCCACCATCCCCACCATCCCCATCATTCCCACCATCATCCATCCCCACCATCCCCATCATTCCCACCATCCCCACCATCCCCACCGTTCCCATCATTCCCACCATTCCCACCATCCCCATCATCCCCACCATCCCCACCATTCCCACCCTCATCCATCCCCACCATCCCCACCATTCCCATCATTCCCACCATCCCCACCCTCATCCATCCCCACCATCCCCACCGTCCCCACCATCCCCACCATTCCCACCCTCATCCATCCCCACCGTTCCCATCATCATCCCTCGCAGGTGGAAAGGCGAGAACGTGGCCACCACCGAGGTGGCTGAAGCGCTGCTGGCCCACGAGGCGCTGCAGGAAGCCACCGTCTACGGTGTCACCGTGCCAGGTAGCGGGGCCCCATGGCGCCGGTGCCCCTGTGCCCCACACCCAAAGGCCCTGTGCCCCACTCCTGCCCTCGCCTCGCCCCACAGGCCAGGAGGGCCGCGCGGGGATGGCGGCGCTGGTGCTGAGCCCCGGCTGCAGCCTGGATGGAGCCGCGCTCTTCCGGCACGTGGAGCGGCTCCTGCCGCCCTACGCATGGCCCCGCTTCCTGCGCCTGCAGGTGAGGGGTGGGGTGGGGTGGGGATGGGATGGGAAAAGGAATGGGGTGGGAATGGGTGGGGATGGGGTGGGGTTGGGATGGGGTGGGATAGGGATGGGGATGGGGATGGGATGGGGTGAGATGGGATGGGATGGGGATGGGATGGGGATGGGGTGGGGATGGGGATGGGATGGGGGGGATGGGGTGGGATGGGGATGGGGTGGGATAGGGATGGGGATGGGGATGGGATGGGGTGAGATGGGATGGGATGGGGATGGGATGGGGTGGGATGGGGATGGGGATGGGGATGGGATGGGATGGGGATGGGGTGGGATGGGGATGGGATGGGATGGGATGGGATGGGGGTTGGATGGGGGTTGGATGGGGATGGGATGGGATGAGATGGGATGGGATGGGGATGGGATGGGATGGGGATGGGGTGGGATGGGGATGGGGTGGGATAGGGATGGGGATGGGGATGGGATGGGGTGAGATGGGATGGGATGGGGATGGGATGGGGTGGGATGGGGATGGGGATGGGGATGGGATGGGGTGGGATGGGGATGGGGATGGGATGGGATGGGATGGGATGGGGATGGGATGGGATGGGGATGGGATGGGGATGGGATGGGATGGGAACGGGATGGGATGGGGATGGGAATGGGATGGGAATGGGATGGAGATGGGATGGGATGGGGATGGGATGGGGATGGGATGGGGATGGGATGGGATATGGGGATGGGGTGTATGGATAATGGGATGGATGGGGTGTATGGGGGATGGGATGGGGTGGGGGATGGGATATGGGGATGGGATGGGGTGGGATTGGGATGGGGATGGGATGGGGATGGGATGGGATGGGGATGGGGATGGGGATGGGGATGGAGGACACACGGATAGGTCCCATCCTGCCCCATTGCGCCTCAGGAGCGCCTGGAGATGACGGACACCTTCAAGCAGCAGAAGGTGCGGTTGGCACAGGAGGGCTTCGACCCCACCTCCATCCCTGACCCCCTCTTCCTGCTGGACCAGAGCTCCAAGGCCTATGTGCCCCTCGGCCCTGCGCAATGGGAGGGGGTCCTGGATGGGAGCATCCGCATTTAGGGGGCCCCAAACCCATGGGGGGGTCCTGCACTGGGTGCCCCATGGGATCCCCATGGCCATCCCTGGGTACCCAACATCCATCCCTTGATACCCAGTGTCCCTCCCTGGGAACCCAACGTCCATCCCTGGGTACCCAACATCCATCCCTTGGTACCCAGCATCCATCCCTTGGTACCCAGCATCCATCCCTGGGTACCCAACGTCCATCCCTGGGTACCCAACGTCCATCCCTTGGTACCCAGCATCCATCCCTGGGTACCCAACGTCCATCCCTTGGTACCCAGCATCCATCCCTGGGTACCCAGCATCCATCCCTGGGTACCCAGCATCCATTCCTTGGTACCCAACGTCCATCCCTTGATACCCAGTGTCCCTCCCTGGGTACCCAACGTCCATCCCTTGGTACCCAGCATCCATCCCTTGGTACCCAGCATCCATCCCTCGTACCCAACATCCCTCCCTGGGTACCCAACATCCATCCCTGGGTACCCAGCATCCACCCCTCGGTACCCAATATCCACCCTGTAGCTCCCCACGTCCATCCCACATCCCCGGGTACCCACATCCATCCTCCTGTCCCCAGTCCCTGTATCAGTCCCGTCTGTCCCTGCATCCATCCTGCCATCTCTGGGTACCCCACATCCGTCCTATAGCTCCCCACATCCATCCTCCATGTCTCCATGTCCATCCTTCCAGCCCCACGTACCCCATGTCCTGTTTGTCCCTATGCCCCTGGACACCCCAGCTCCATCCCATCCATATCCCTGTGTCCATCCCACTGCCCCCACTTGTCTCCTGCATCCATCCCTATCCCCATGCCCCAGGGCTTATCCTAGCCCGTCAATGGGGCGCCAGTGCCTTCCCCTCTTCTCTTTATACTCGGGACCGTTCTCTCTTTTTTAAGTGATTTTTGGTAAATAAAACCTCTTTTGTAGCACTTTTTTTGTCACTGTTTCCTCCCATTCCCACCCCAGGATCCGGGGGGGGTCACCCTTGGAATAGGGAATGTCACTGATGGGGGCCACTGATGCTGTTTATGCTCATTCTTGCCCCCAAAACCACCTTATCCTTGCCCATTCAACCCCATTGCAACCAAAGCCCCTTCAATCACTGCTCCCCACTTCCAACCCCCCTTAAATCACTGCACCCCACTTCCAAGCCCCTTCAATCACTGCTCCCCACTTCCAAACAGCCTTAAATCACTGCACCCCACTTCCAAACTCCCTTAAATCACTGCACCCCACTTCCAACCCCCTTAAATCACTGCTCCCCACTCCCAAACCCCCATAAATCACTGCACCCCACTTCCAAACTCCCTTAAATCACTGCACCCCACTTCCAACCCCCTTAAATCACTGCTCCCCACTTCCAACCCCCCTTAAATCACTGCTCCCCACTTCCAACCCCCATTAAATCACTGCACCCCACTTCCAAACAGCCTTAAATCACTGCACCCCACTTCTAAACTCCATAAATCACTGCACCCCACTTCCAAACCCCTTAAATCACTGCACCCCACTCCCAACCCCCCTTAAATCACTGCACCCCACTTCCAAACCCCTTAAATCACTGCTCCCCACTTCCAAACCCTCTTAAATCACTGCACCCCACTTCCAAACCCTCTTAAATCACTGCACCCCACTTCCAAACCCCCATAAATCACTGCACCCCACTTCCAAACCCCCATAAATCACTGGACCCCACTTCCAACCCCCTTAAATCACTGCACCCCACTTCCAAACCTTCAATCACTGCACCCCACTTCCAACCCCCTTAAATCACTGCACCCCACTTCCAAACTCCCTTCAATCGCTGCACCCCACTTCCAAACCCCCCTTAAATCACTGCACCCCACTTCCAAACCCCCTTAAATCACTGCACCCCACTTCCAAACTCCCTTAAATCACTGCACCCCACTTCCAACCCCCCTTAAATCACTGCACCCCACTTCCAAACCCCCTTCAATCACTGCACCCCGCTTCCAACCCCCCTTCAATCACTGCACCCCACTTCCAAACCCCTTCAATCACTGCACCCCACTTCCAACCTCCCTTAAATCACTGCTCCCCACTTCCAAACCCCCTTAAATCACTGCACCCCACTTCCAAACCCCCTTCAATCACTGCACCCCACTTCCAACCCCCCTTAAATCACTGCTCCCCACTCCCAAACCCCCTTAAATCACTGCACCCCACTTCCAAACTGGGGTGATGCTGGTCCCCAAAAGCCACTTATGGGGGGGGGTGGAGGGGGGCAGATTTGGGGCCAATGGGGGTGATTTGGATAATGGGGGGGTCCCAAAGAGCTGCTTGGGGTGATCCTGATGGGGCCCCAAAGGTGATGGAACCCAGGAATGGACCCCCCCCCCCCCAAATCCTGCCCCTCCTAAAGCTGCTTTTGGGCCATTTCCCTGCAAATTGGAACCAAAATCCTGCAAATTTCAGTTAAAATCCCACAATTTTGGTTAAAATCCCACAATATTGGCGTAAAATACACTAAATTTGGGGAAAAAAACCCAAATTTGGCCTAAAACCCTGCAAATTGGGTCTGGAATGCTGAAAAGCATCTTATTTAGGAGCAAATCCCATAAATCTGGGCCGGAATCTTGGAAATCGGGTGCAAAGCCCTGCTCCTTTGGCCTGAATTCCAGAAACAGGGAATAAAGGCACCAAACTGGGGGGAATTGGCCCCAAATCTTGCAAATTGGAGGCCAACCTGGTAAATCTGGGCTGAAAGCCGGGAATTGAGGGCGAAATTCCATGATTTTGGCTTGAAATCCCACAAATTGGGGCCGAAATCGTTAACTTTGGGCTGAAATCGGGGGAATTGGGGCTCAAATCCCCCCAGATGGGCAGGGAAGGCTTTAAATCTGAGCTGAAATCCCCCGAATTGGGGCAAAAGCTGGAAATTTGGGTGGAAATCTCCCAAATTGGCCTGAAATCCTTCAACTTTGGGCTTAAATACTGAGGATTTGGGTTAAATCTGCAAATGAGGGCTGAAACCCCCCAAATTGGGGTCAAAACCTACAAATTTGGCCCAAAACATTGAAAATCCTTCAAATGTGGCCAAAACCCCCCAAATTTGGGCTGAAATCCTTCACGTTTGGCCTAAAAACCTTGAAATTTGGGCTGAAATCCTTCAAATTTAGGCTGAAATCCTCCAAATTTGGCCAACCCCCCGCAAATTTGGGCTGAAATCCTTCAAATTTGGTCAACCCCGCCCCCAAATTTTGGCTGAAATCCTTCAAATTTGGCCTGAAATCCTTCATATTTGGGCCAACCCCCACAAAATTTGGGCTGAAATCCTTCAAACTTAGCCTGAAATCCTTCAAATTTGGGTCAATCCCCCCAAATTTTGGCTAAAATCCTTCAAATTTGGGCCACACCCCCCCTCCCCCCAGAATTTGGGCTGAAGCTCTTCAAATTTGGCCAAAGAAAACCAAATTTGACCTGAAATCCTTCAAATTTGGCCACCACCCCCCCAAATTACAGCTGAAATCTTTCCAATTTGGCCGCCCCCCCCCCCGAATTTGGGCTGAAACCCTTCAAATTTGGCCAAACCCCCGCAAATTTGGCCTGAAATCCTTCAAATTTGGCCACCCCCCCCCCCCCCCCCCCCCCCCCCCCCCCCCCCCCACCCCCCCCCCCCCCCCCCCCCCCCCCCCCCCCCCCCCCCCCCCCCCCCCCCCCCCCCCCCCCCCCCCCCCCCCCCCCCCCCAAAATGTGGGCTGAAACCCTTCCAATTTCACCGAAAATCCTTAAAATTTGGGCTGAAATCCTTAAAATTTGGGCTGAAACCCTTCCAATTCGGCCACCCCCCTCCCCCCACCAAATTTGGGCTGAAACCCTTCCAATTTCACCGAAAATCCTTAAAATTCGGGCTGAAACCCTTCCAATTTCACTGAAAATCCTTAAAATTTGGGCTGAAACCCTTCCAATTCGGCCACCCCCGTCCCCCCCCCCCCAAATTTGGGCTGAAACCCTTCCAATTTCACCGAAAATCCTTAAAATTTGATCCGAAATCCTTAAAATTTGGGCTGAAACCCTTCCAATTTCACTGAAAATCCTTAAAATTTGGGCTGAAACCCTTCCAATTCGGCCACCCCCCTCCCCCCACCAAATTTGGGCTGAAACCCTCCCAATTTCACCGAAAATCCTTAAAATTTGGGCTGAAACCCTTCCAATTTCACCGAAAATCCTTAAAATTTGGGCTGAAACCCTTCCAATTTCACCGAAAATCCTTAAAATTTGGGCTGAAACCCTTCCAATTTCACCGAAAATCCTTAAAATTTGGGCTGAAACCCTTCCAATTTCACTGAAAATCCTTAAAATTTGGGCTGAAACCCTTCCAATTTCACCGAAAATCCTTAAAATTTGGGCTGAAACCCTTCCAATTTCACCGAAAATCCTTAAAATTTGGGCTGAAACCCTTCCAATTTCACCGAAAATCCTTAAAATTTGGGCTGAAACCCTTCCAATTTCACTGAAAATCCTTAAAATTTGGGCTGAAACCCTTCCAATTTCACCGAAAATCCTTAAAATTTGGGCTGAAACCCTTCCAATTTCACCGAAAATCCTTAAAATTTGGGCTGAAACCCTTCCAATTTCACCGAAAATCCTTAAAATTTGGGCTGAAACCCTTCCAATTTCACTGAAAATCCTTAAAATTTGGGCTGAAACCCTTCCAATTTCACCAAAAATCCTTAAAATTTGGGCCGAAATCCTTCCAATTCAACCACCCCCCCCCAAATTTGGGCCGCCCCCCCCCATTTTCTCCCATTCCCCCCCAACCCCCCATCTCCTCCACCCTGCATCCCCCCAATCCCCCCCGCAATGGCCTCTCCCCACCCCACGCTCCCCTTGGGTCCCATCCGTGGCGCCCCCCACGTGTGGGGCGGGGGGGGGGGCAGAGGAAGGAGCCGCAGGCCGCTTGTTGGAGCTGTATATTGTATATATGCCAATGCAAGAATAAAAACAGTGCAAATACAGGTACAGTTTATAATACTCCCCTCCCCCCCCCCCCCAACCCCCCCCCATCCCCCCCATCCCCATCCCCATCCCCCCCCCTCTCCGTGCTCCATCCCCCCCCCATCCCCCTCCCTTTCCCTCCCCTCCCCCTCCCTAATCCCATCCCCCTTCCCCCCCCCAATCACCCCCCTCCCCCAATCCATCATTATTCCACTATGGGACCCCCCCCCTCACCCCCCTCACCCAAAAAAGGGGTGGGGGGGGTGTGGGGGGGGAGGGGGGTGGGGGGAGGGGCTTTGCGTGAGTGAAAGGCACAGATTCGGGAGGTGGCCGCCGCCACCAGTGCATCACCGGGGCCGAGGGGGGGCCCCTTTAAGGTGGCTCCCCCCTCCCCCACCCCCACCCCCCAACCCCCCCCTCCCCCTTTTTTCCAGCACCTCCCCCCTTCTCCTCTAATCCCCCCACCCCCACCCCCCATTGTTATCCCATAGCCGGGGGGATGGGGGAGGGGTGATGGGGGGGGATGATGGGGGGAGGGGAAGTGGGGGTCCCCCCCCTCCCCCCCCATTGTTTGCACGGTTCATGTCATACACACGCGGTCACGAGAAGGACGAGTTCCACAACAGCCATGGCCCGGGGGGGGGAGGGGGGGGGGGGGGGGGGATTTTCCTTACATTTTGGGGGGTTTTGGGGTTTTTTTTTTACAGAATGTACATTTTTGTCAATGAATTTTTGATGCTTTTTCGCCCCCATCCCCCCCCGTTTTCCTGTCCCTGCAAAGGGGGGGGGGGGGTAAATGGGGTGAATGGGACCCCCCCATCGGTTCCACCCCTCCCCCCCCTATTCCCTTTATCCCAAAGGAAAGCCCAAAAAGTTCAAGAGCCCCGGAAATTCAGACCCAAAAGCTCGGGATCCCAAAAAAACCCTCAGGTTCGCAAAAAAAAACTCAATAGGACAAAAAATCAATCCCAAAAATTCGATATCCCCCAAAAAATCAATCCCAAAAATTCAATATCAAAAAAAATTAATCCCAAAAATTCAATATCCAAAAAAAATAATCCCAAAAATTCAATATCCAAAAAAATCAATCCCAAAAATTCAATATCCAAAAAAAATCAATCCCAAAAATTCAATATCCCCAAAAAAACAATCCCAAAAAGCTCGATATGCCCCCAAAACTCAATATCCCAAAAAAGTCAATATCCTAAAAAATTCATATCCCAAAATATTCAATATCCCAAGAAACCTCAATATCCCAAAAAAACTCAATATCCCAAAAACATCAATATCCTAAAAAATTCATATCCCAAAAACCTCAATATCCCCCCAAAAGTCAATATCCCAAAAACTCCATTTCCCCAAAAACCTCAGGCTCGCAAAAAAAAAAAAATATCCCAAAAACCTCAATCCCCAAAAACCTCAATATCGCCCCAAAATATCCCAAAACCCTCAATATCCAAAAAAAACCTCAATCCCCAAAAACCTCAATATCCCAAAAAATTCAATCCCCAAAACCTCACTATCCCCAAAAAACTCATTATCCCCCCAAAATATCCCAAAAACCTCAATATAAAAAAAAACTCAACATCCCCCCAAAATATCCCAAAAAACTCAATCCCCAAAACCTCACTATCAAAAAAAAACTCATTATCCCAAAATATCCCAAAAAACTCAATCCCCAAAACAAAACTAAATATCCCCAAAAACTTCAATACCCCCCCAAATTATCCCAAAAATTCAATCCCCAAAACATCACTATCCCCCAAAAAAATTCAATATCCCAAAAAATCAATATCCCAAAAACCTCAATCCCCAAAACCTCACTATCCCAAAAAAACTCATTATCCCAAAATATCCCAAAACCTCAATATCCCAAAAAATCATTATCCCAAAAATCTCAATCCCCAAAACCTCAATATCCCAAAAAACCTCATTATCCCAAAATATTCCAAGAAACTCATTCCCCAAAAACTATCCCAAAACACCTCATTATCCCAAAATATCCCAAAAAACTCAATCCCCAAAACCTCACTATCCCAAAAAAACTCATTATCCCAAAATATCCCAAAACCTCAATATCCCAAAAAATCATTATCCCAAAAATCTCAACCCCCAAAACCTCAATATCCCAAAAAACCTCATTATCCCCCCAAAATATCTCCAAAAACTCAATCCCTAAAACCTCACTATCCCAAAAACCTCATTATCCCAAAAAATCAATATCCAAAAAATTTAATCCCCAAAACCTCAATATCCCCCAAAAAACTCATTATCCCCCCAAAATATCCCAAAAAACTCAATCCCCAAAACCTCAATATCCCAAAAACCTCATTATCCCCCCAAAATATCCCAAAAACCTCAATATAAAAAAAAAACCTCATTATCCCCCCAAAATATCCAAAAAAACTCAATCCCCAAAACCTCACTATCCCAAAAAACCTCATTATCCCCCCAAAATATCCCAAAAACCTCAATATAAAAAAAACTCATTATCCCCCCAAAATATCCCCAAAAACTCAATCCCCAAAACCTCACTATCCCAAAAAAAACTCAATATCCCCAAAAAACCTCATTATCCCCCCAAAATATCCCAAAAACATCCTTATCCCCAAAAACCTCAATATCCCCCCCAAATATCCCCAAAACCTCAATATCCCCCAAACCAAAATCCCCAAAAATCAGTATCCAAAAAAAACTCAATATCCCAAAAAATTCAATCCCGAAAACCTCAATATCCCCCCAAAAACCTCATTATCCCAAAATATCCCAAAAACCTCAATCCCCAAAACCTCAATATCCCAAAAAATCTCAGCATCCCCCCAAAATATCCCAAAACCTCAATATCCAAAAAAATCAATATCCCAAAAAACTCAACCCCCAAAACCTCAATATCCCAAAAAAACCTCATTATCCCAAAATATCCCCAAAACCTCACTATCCCAAAATCCTCATTTTCCCAAAATATCCCTAAAACTCAATCTCCAAAACCTCAATATCCCCAAAACCTCAATATCCCAAAAACCAAAATCCCAAAAAATCAATATCCCAAAAAACTTCCCTATCCCAAAAACCTCATTTTCCCAAAATATCCCAGAAAATTCAATCCCCAAAACCTCCCTATCCCAAAAACCTCAATATCCCAAAATATCCCAACCCCTCCTCATCCCGAGCAGCTCAACCCCCAGAGAAGCGTTTCCACAAGCGGCTCTGGCCCCACCAAAAAGCAGGGAAAGAATTCCCGGGCTTGGGAATACCGGGGGGGGGGGGGGGGGGGGGGGGCACAAACGGAGCAATAATTAATAATTAATAATTAATAATAAGGAATAAATCTGTGCAGGCCAAAGCCCCCCCCCCCCCCCATCCCCAATGCACCCCAATGGGGGGGGGGTTTAGGGTTGGGTTTTGGGGGTCCCCCCCCATCCCCAATGCACCCCAATGGGGGGGGGTTTAGGGTTGGGTTTTGGGGGTCCCCAATGGGGGGGGGTTTAGGGTTGGGTTTTGGGGGTCCCCAATGGGGGGGGGTTTAGGGTTGGGTTTTGGGGGTCCCCAATGCAACCCAATGGGGGGGGGGGTTAGGGTTGGGTTTTGGGGGTCCCCAATGCAACCCAATGGGGGGGGGGGTTAGGGTTGGGTTTTGGGGTTCCCCAATGCACCCCAATGGGGGGGGGGTTTAGGGTTGGGTTTTGGGGGTCCCCCCCCATCCCCAATGCACCCCAATGGGGGGGGGTTTAGGGTTGGGTTTTGGGGGTCCCCAATGGGGGGGGGTTTAGGGTTGGGTTTTGGGGGTCCCCAATGCAACCCAATGGGGGGGGGGGTTAGGGTTGGGTTTTGGGGGTCCCCAATGCAACCCAATGGGGGGGGGGGTTAGGGTTGGGTTTTGGGGTTCCCCAATGCACCCCAATGGGGGGGGTTAGGGTTGGGTTTTGGGGGTCCCCAATGCAACCCAATGGGGGGGGGGGTTAGGGTTGGGTTTTGGGGTTCCCCAATGCACCCCAATGGGGGGGGGGTTAGGGTTGGGTTTTGGGGGTCCCCAATGCACCCCAATGGGGGGGGTTAGGGTTGGGTTTTGGGGGTCCCCAATGCAACCCAATGGGGGGGGGGTTAGGGTTGGGTTTTGGGGGTCCCCAATGCACCCCAATGGGGGGGGGTGTTTATGGTTGGGTTTTAGGGGTCCCCCCCCCAATGCACCCCAATGGGGGGGGGTTAGGGTTGGGTTTTGGGGGTCCCCAATGCACCCCAATGGGGGGGGGGGTTTAGGGTTGGGTTTTGGGGGTCCCCAATGCACCCCAATGGGGGGGGGTTTAGGGTTGGGTTTTGGGGGTCCCCAATGCACCCCAATGGGGGGGGGGTTTAGGGTTGGGTTTTGGGGGTCCCCAATGCACCCCAATGGGGGGGGGGGATTTAGGGTTGGGTTTTGGGGGTCCCCAATGCACCCCAATGGGGGGGGTTAGGGTTGGGTTTTGGGGGTCCCCAATGCAACCCAATGGGGGGGGGGTTTAGGGTTGGGTTTTGGGGGTCCCCAATGCACCCCAATGGGGGGGGTGTTTTAGGGTTGGGTTTTGGGGGGTCCCCCCCATGTTTAGGGGTGTGTTTCACTTATAGCACCATAAAGTGGGGATCTCCTCCATCACCCCCTTTTCTCCATCCCATTCCCCCCCCCCCCCAAAAGACTCCACGTTAAATATTGCACTTGGGTTTTTTGTCGCTTTTTTGACCATTTTTGCCTTTTTTTAGGGTTTTTTTTTGTGGTGTTTTTTTTTTTGCTTTAATTCTTGCATTTCAGCATTAAATTCACCCCCCCACCCCCACCCCCTGCCCCCCAACATTTCCCCCCCCCCCCCCATGCCCAGGTCACCTCGTACCTCTGGGGAACAGGTAATGGCACTTGAGCGAGGGATGGGGTTGAGAAGGGGGGGGGTGGAAGGAAAGCATCACCCCCCCCCCCAAAAAATAACCCAAAATACCCCAAAATTACCCCAAAAAGTCACTTTTAGCCAAGGAAAACCCCACCCATTGCCAAAGTGCTCCCATGGAAGCGGGGCCATCAAGGGAGGTTTGGAGCATCCCGGATGGAAAAGGGGAGGTTTAAGGTTAAAACACCCCCCCCCACACCCCAAAATGCCTCCCAAAATCCCCCAAAATTCCCTAAATCCCCCCCAAAAAAAAGAATCCATATATAGCTATGTCTTTATATATACGCCACTAAACTTCCAACAGGAATTCCAACTAATTTTCCCTCTGGAAGGGCCCAAAGAGGTTGGGGGGGGGGGGGAATTTGGGATGCTCAGACCCCTCAAGGGGTTAAGTGCTCATTGGATTGAGGGGCTGCTGGTGGGGGACCCCCCCACCCATAAAGGGGGGGGAAGGAAGGTGCCTGGTCCCCAGGTTTTGGGGGGGGGGGTTGGTTTTGGGGGTCCCATTTCCCCCCCCCCCCCTTGGCCATCAAGCAAAGGGGTGAGCTGAGATTGCACGAGATTCTCCTGTTGGGAATAACAATGGATCGTCAAGAATCCGGGCTCAAAAAAAGAAAGGGGGGGGGGGAAATTCCTTAAAATTCCTTAAAAACAAGGCAGGAAACTCGCAGGGAGGAGCAAAAACCCTCAGGTGGGAACGGGAATGGGATGGGATGGGGATGGGATGGGGATGGGGATGAAGATGGGATGGGAATGGGGATGAGGATGGGATGGGGATGGGGATGGGATGGGATGGGAATGGGGATGGGATGTGGGGCCGGGGTTGCTCCGGCAGCGAATTCCACTGGCAAGGGCTGTGTCTGCGAGGAGGAGGAGGAGGAAGAGGGATAAGAGGAGGAAGAGGAGGGAAGGGCCCATTAGTGTGAAGGTTTAAGTGCAAATAGAGCGTTTCTCAGACGACTTTTCTTGCTTTGGGTTCGTTAACCGGAGCCCCGGTGCCATTCCCATCATCCCGGTGCCATTCCCATCATCCGGGTGCCATTCCCATCGCCCCAGTGCCATTCCCACCGCTTGGGGACCATTCCCATCACCTGGGTGCCATTTGCATCGCTTGGGTGCCAATTCGCATCGCTTGGGTACCATTCCCATCACCTGGGTGCCATTCCCATCACTTGGATACCATTCCCATCACTTGGGGACCATTTCCATCCCCTGGGTACCCATTCCCATCGCCCCGGTGCCATACGCATCACTTGGGTACCATTCCCATCACCTGGATGCCATTCCCATCACTTGGGGACCATTTCCATCCCCTGGGTACCATTCCCACCGCCCCGGTGCCATATGCATCACCTGGGTACCATTCCCATCACTTGGATACCATTCCCATCACTTGGGGACCATTCCCATCACCTGGGTGCCATTCCCATTGCTCGGGTGCCATTCCCATCACCTGGGTACCATTCCCATCACTTGGATACCATTCCCATCACTTGGGGACCATTCCCATCACCTAGGTGCCATTCCCATCACTTGGATACCATTCCCATCACTTGGATACCATTCCCATCCCCTGGGTACCATTCCCATCGCCCTGGTGCCGTATGCATCACTTGGGTACCATTCCCATCACTCGGGTGGCATTCCCATCCCCTGGGTACCATTCCCATCCCCTGGGTACCATTCCCATCGCCCCGGTGCCATTCCCATCGCCCGGACAGCAGCTCCGGAGCATGCAGGAAGCGCGGAAGAGCCGAGGACGGGGACTCACCGTGCCCAAGTCTGCTCACGGGTGGCCTCAGCACCCTCAGCACCCCAAAGCGGGCTCCTTGCCTTGGCCAACCGGGGTCCCCAGCACCAGCCATGGACCCCCAGAGGGCTCCCTGCCTCCATGGGAAGGGCTGGGATGGGAGGCTCCTGCCTTTCTTCTCGCCAAGGCAAGGGTGCAGCACCCCAGCACCCACCCATGGGTGCTGGTGGCCCCTGGTCCCCCACGTTTCCCCCCCACCCCACGAGTCAGCACCAGGCTGCTGCCCGTGCACAGTAAAAGAGGCTTCACTGCTGCCCCTGGGCCAAAGTCTGTGGCAAAAAGAGAACCAGAGCATGAAAAAAAAGAGGAAAAGGAAAAGGGGGGGGGTGGGAAACAGATCCCAAAAAAAAAATCGGGAAAAAAGCCCAAAAAGAAAGTCAGGAAAATCAGCCCCCCCCCAAAAAAAAAAAAAAAAGAACCCCACGATACAATTCAAAACTCTAGGCTTTGTCATTACAAAAAACAGCATCACCCAAGCTGGAACACACACGGCGAGTGCTGACCTCAAGCAGACCTCGGGCAAAGGAAGCGGCCCCTCACTTCCCACGTGGAAAAAGGGCTGGAGGAAAGGACAAGGATGCCGGAGGGTTGGAAAAGTGGGGTGGGTTCCATGTCTTGCTGTGGCTTTTCTGGCTTTGCTTTCCCCCGGGGACGGTAGGCACCAGCACAGGCACTGCATGCGACGGGAGCGGGGTCGAGGGGGGGCTGCTCTGCTCAGCAGGGGTTATTTCTGTCCGCTGATGGACTGGGATATAGAGCGAGGCGGGATCATATCCAGGAGGTATTCCCGCTGCCGGTCCGCCAGGCTGGATGCTTTGTGGCCTCCGATGCCGGCGTTCAGGTAGGCGATGTTCACACCTGGAGGGGGATACGGGGACACCGAGGGGGTGATGGGGTGGCAGGAAGGGAGCACGGGGAGGGGGGAAGCGGCTCCGTCCCCTGCCATGGAGGACAATGAATGGGGGGCAGCATCCAAGGAAAAGCAGCCCTGATTGGGGTGACTGAGCCAGGACGCATCCCATCCTGTTCCATCCCATCCCATCCTGTTCCATCCCATCCCATCCTGTCCCATCCCATCCTGTTCCATCCCATCCCATCCCATCCTGTTCCATCCCATCCCATCCTGTTCCATCCCATCCATCCCATCCTGTTCCATCCCATCCCATCCTGTCCCATCCCATCCTGTTCCATCCCATCCCATCCCATCCTGTTCCATCCCATCCCATCCTGTTCCATCCCATCCCATCCATCCCATCCCATCCTGTTCCATCCCATCCATCCCATCCTGTTCCATCCCATCCCATCCTGTTCCATCCCATCCATCCCATCCTGTTCCATCCCATCCCATCCTGTTCCATCCCATCCCATCCTGTCCCATCCCATCCTGTTCCATCCCATCCATCCCATCCTGTTCCATCCCATCCCATCCTGTTCCATCCCATCCATCCCATCCCATCCTGTTCCATCCCATCCATCCCATCCTGTTCCATCCCATCCATCCCATCCTGTTCCATCCCATCCCATCCTGTTCCATCCCATCCCATCCTGTCCCATCCCATCCCATCCCATCCTGTTCCATCCCATCCCATCCTGTTCCATCCCATCCCATCCCATCCTGTTCCATCCCATCCCATCCATCCCATCCCATCCTGTTCCATCCCATCCCATCCTGTTCCATCCCATCCTGTTCCATCCCATCCCATCCATCCCATCCTGTTCCATCCCATCCCATCCTGTTCCATCCCATCCCATCCCATCCTGTTCAATCCCATCCTGTTCCATCCCATCCCATCCTGTTCCATCTCATCCCATCCCATCCCATCCTGTTCCATCTCATCCCATCCCATCCCATCCTGTTCCATCCTGTTCCATCCCATCCCATCCCATCCATCCCATCCTGTTCCATCCCATCCTATTCCATCCCATTCCATCCCACTCATCCCATCCCATCCTACACCATCCCATCCTATTCCATCTCATCCCATCCTGTTCCATCCCATCCCATCCTGTTCCATCCCATCCTATTCCATCTCATCCCATCCTGCTCCATCCCATCCCATCCTATTCCACCACATCCATCCCATCCTGTTCCATCCCATCACATCCTGTTCCATCCCATCCCATCCTATTCCATCTCATCACATCCTGCTCCATCCCATCCATCCCATCCTGTTCCATCCCATCCCATCCTGTTCCATCCCATCCTATTCCATCTCATCACATCCTGCTCCATCCCATACCACCCTATCCCACCCCATCCATCCCATCCTGTTCCATCCCATCCCATCCTGTTCCATCCCATCCCATCCTGTTCCATCCCATCCCATCCTATTCCATCTCATCACATCCTGCTCCATCCCATCCCATCCTATTCCATCTCATCACATCCTATTCCATCTCATCCATCCCATCCTACACCATTCATTCATTCCTATTCCA